GTTGTTATAATGTCATATAGGGCAGTCTGTGCACAAACGCCGCCCTCCCTCAGCATTTCGCTTGGGAGATCATGTCTGCCCACTGCCTTTCCTGGTCTCAGACTCTGGATCGCCTTCAGTACTTCCTCAACAGATGGCACTTCAGCCAGCCACTTACAGGGGGTGACTTCTTCCAATATTTGAGGCTCTGCAGCCTCAGCAGGGTCATCCCCACTTTGTGCCACGATGTTTTCCTGGCTGAGGGATTTCCCCTCCCCCAGGACCTCACAGAAATGCTCAGCAAATCTGCAAACCTGTTCCTGGCGGTCGGAGATTGGATCACCGTTTTTTCCCCTAATGATGGTAATAGGTGTGGCGCTGCAGATTACTTTTTTGATGGAGTTAAATAGAGATTTGTGATCACGGGCCACTGAGGCAGACTCCATCTCCTCAGCAACCCGTGACCACCACCCATCCTTGCAGCGCCTCATGGCTCTCCGAACCTCCGAGCGAAGGCTGCGGTAAGCCTCCTCATTCTCTGACGTGGAATTCTGTAGCCGATGACAGTGGGCCTGTCGCTTTTTCTCAACCATCCTGAACACCTCCTCTGTCAGCCAGGGTCTCTGGGGAGGTCTGGACCGCGTACCCTAAGCAGCCATTGCAGCTGCATGAGTCACAGTCCTAAACCTCGCCCATTTACCCTCGACATCAGGAGAAGTCGGGGACGATGCCAATCCCAGCCGCAAGCGATGATGAAATTCTCGCTTGCAACTTTCATCAGATAACTGAGACCAGGCCACTTTAGATTGGAATGGGGTCCTGGGTGTACACCCACCACCGGAGTGGAAGAATGGCAGGCGCATCTTACAGATGACGAGTCGATGGTTAGAGGGCAGATCAGCTCCACGGTAGGTCCTGGTGTCAAGGACATGGGCTCGCATCCGCTGGTCCCTCACTATGTAGTCCAGCAGATGTTCTTGCTTGGACCCGGCATGCATCCATGATGTTGTGTGGATGCGCCGATGCCGGAACAGCGTGTTGGTAATTACAAGCTCATGGGCTGCACAAAAATCTAGCAGCCTCCTACCGTTGTTATTGAGCTGATCTGGCTCATGCCCTCCAATCACTCCAGACCAGGTGCCAGTATCATGACCAACTCGGGCATTGAAGTCACCCAACATGATGACTCTATCCCGAGGGGCCACTTTAGCCAGCACCTGTGACAGGAGGTCATAGAAGGCATCTGACTCATCGGCTTTGCCTGCATTCCTCCAAGGATGTTCATCTTCGGTGGGGGCATAAGTAACCACGACCACTATTCTTCGCCTCCGGTTGATGGGAAGGTGAGCCCAAAGTAGCCTGGGGCTTACAGCTTCCCACACCTCACTGCCACGCTCCCACGCCCCCTTCATTCTGTTGTTCAAAAGAAGAGCCACACCCTGTTGTTTGGCAGTCTGCTGCCCCGAGTAGAGGACTGTCCACCCCTCATGGTGGCAGGAGCCAGAGCCGGTCCACCGGACCTCCTGAATGCCACATAGATCCAGGCGGTACCGGTCAAGCTCCCGACAGAGGAGTGGCAGCCTCTCCTCTGCAGTGAGCGTTCGAACATTCCAGGTGGCCACCCGTAGTGGTTTTTCGTTGTTTCAGGAGGAGCCCCGAGGGTAGATATTCAATCTCCTGGCTCCGATAATTGGGGTTTGGCCAGGAGACGTCATAGACGCCTGGCCCCCCGGGGCCTCCGGCACAAGCTTATTAGTTATATACTTATTCGTGGTTTAGTGGTAATTAATTGAAGGTGGAGGGGTTACCAGCCCCTCGCACCCGTCCAGAGCCCCCGTTTAGCCCCTCTGGTGGACACATGCCATGAGGGGAGGAGCCAATTAAAATTGGACCTCCCCCCACAGCACTGTCCACGACAGAGTTGCCCGTCCGGCACCGCGAGGAGGTAGGGGGTTGTTTTGCCGGACCAACACAACGCCTACTCAGAGACACACACACACACAACGCCTACTCAGAGACACACACACACAACGCTTACTCAGAGATACACACACATACACAACGCCTACTCAGACACACACACACAACGCCTACTCAGAGACACACACACACACAACGCCTACTCAGAGACACACACACACAACGCCTACTCAGAGACACACACACAACGCTTACTCAGAGACACACACAAGACGCCTACTCAGAGACACACACACACAACGCCCATCACACACACTCACACTCACCCTGTCACTCACACACAACACACACCCATCAAACACTCTCACACTCACCCTGTCACTCACAACACACACCCATCACACACTCTCACACTCACCCTGTCACTCTCACGCAACACACACCCATCACACACACACTCTGTCACTCACAACACACACCCATCACACACACTCACCCTGTCACTCACACACACCCATCACACACTGTCACACTCACCCTGTCACTCACACAACACACACCCATCACACACTCACCCTATCACTCACAACACACACCCATCACACACTCACCCTGTCACTCACACACACAAAACACACCCATCACACACGCTCACCCTGTCACTCCCACAACACACACCCATCACACACACTCACACTCACCCTGTCACACACACACAACACACACCCATCAAACACTCTCACACTCACCCTGTCACTCACAACACACACCCATCACACACTCTCACACTCACCCTGTCACTCTCACGCAACACACACCCATCACACACACACTCTGTCACTCACAACACACACCCATCACACACACTCACCCTGTCACTCACACACACCCATCACACACTGTCACACTCACCCTGTCACTCACACAACACACACCCATCACACACTCACCCTATCACTCACAACACACACCCATCACACACTCACCCTGTCACTCACACACACAAAACACACCCATCACACACGCTCACCCTGTCACTCCCACAACACACACCCATCACACACACTCACACTCACCCTGTCACACACACACAACACACACCCATCACACACTCTCACACTCACCCTGTCACTCACACAACACACACCCATCACACACTCACCCTGTCACTCACAGTCAACACACACCCATCACACACTCACTCTGTCACTCACTCACAACACACCCCATCACACACTCACACTGTCACTCACACACACAACACACACCCATCACACACTCTCACACTCACCCTGTCACTCACACACAACACACACCCATCACACACTCTCACACTCACCCTGTCACTCACACACAACACACACCCATCACACACTCTCACACTCACCCTGTCACTCACACACAACACACACCCATCACACACTCACACTCACCCTGTCACTCACACACAACACACACCCATCACACACTCTCACACTCAACCTGTCACTCACAACACACACCCATCACACACTCTCACACTCACCCTGTCACTCACACATAACACACACCCATCACACACTCTCACTCTCACCCTGTCACACACACACAACACACACCCATCACACACTCACCCTGTCACTTACACAACACACACCCATCACACACTCTCACAGTCACCCTGTCACTCTCACAACACACACCCATCACACACTCTCACACTCACCCTGTCACTTACACACAACACACACCCATCACACACTCACACTCACCCTGTCACTCACACAACACACACCCATCACACACTCTCACAGTCACCCTGTCACTCTCTCACAACACACACCCATCACACACACTCACCCTGTCACTCACACACAACACACACTCATCACACACAACACACCCCCATCATACACTCTCACACACAACACACACTCACCCTGTCACTCACACACAACACACACTCATCACACCCATCACACACAACACACACCCATCACACACTCTCACACACAACACACACTCACCCTGTCACTCACACACAACACACACTCATCACACACAACACACCCCCATCACACACTCTCACACACAACACACACTCACCCTGTCACTCACACACAACACACACTCATCACACCCATCACACACAACACACACCCATCACACACTCTCACACACAACACACACTCACCCTGTCACTCACACACAACACACACCCATCACACACAACACACACTCATCACACACTCACACACACTCTCACACACACCCTCACACACACTGATATAAACGGACTGTCACACACACGCACAGCTGCCACATTTCCCACACCAGATAGGGACAGCGTGGGAAGACGCGCGCTTTCTTATACAAGCTGCCAAATTGCATTGACGCGCACGGACAATAATTGCGTCATTACGCGCGCGAGACAGTGCGATGACGTCATAATTGTGTCCAGTCACTGACAATTCGCTGACAATATCAGTAGCAGCGCACTATAATCAAATTACATAATAATTTCATACAGCCTCACGCCGGGCCGCCTTTGTCTCCCCAGTGCGCGACGTTTAACGCACCGTGACAGGTGCTCGAGGCTGAGTCGACCTAGGGGGAGGCCCAGAACCGGTTCAGACAATCGTGATCACTCGTGGTGGTTGTAGTGGTGGTTGTGTGAGTCGAACTCGGCTCGGGGCCAGGTTCGGAGGTCAAACGGGGTGACGTCACGCAACGTTTAGCGCGGTGACGTCACGCAACGTTCAGAGCGGTGACGTCACGTATTGTTCAGCGCGGCGACGTTGAGCGCAGTAATGTTACGTAACTTAGAGCGCGGTCACGTCACGTAACGTTCAGCGCGATGACGTCGCGCAATGTTCAGAGCGGCGACGTTGAGCGCGGTGACGTCACGCAACGTTTATTGCGGTGACGTCACGCAATGTTGAGCACGGCGACGTCACGCAACATCGAGCCCGGATTGCGTCACCCGGAAGCGGGGCGAATCGCAATTGCGTAGTTCACTTAAGCGGCCGGGCGGCCTCTTGGCCAATGGCGTCGCAGTATCGCCTGACCGCGTGCTCGAGCTCGACCAATAAGCGAGCCGGGCGCGGTGTTGTTGGTCGCGCGTTCACGTTATGGAATTTGAAGCCGGCGTGCGTCCGATCCTTAGGTTTCGCCTCTGCGTGGGTTCGACTCCTGTCGCGGCTTCAGCGATGGATTTGTACCAGGAGGAAGGGAATCCCGGTAACCTCAAGGTGGCCGCCGCTTCAGAGTTCGTTGGGTTCAAGCTCAATGTCCACGAGGTCAATGCTGACGGTGAGAGAGAGAGAGAAGGACCTTGAGGGCACCGGTTAATTGGCCGGCTTTGGCCGCCTCGAGACGCCCCTTTCCCGGCTGCGAATGCAGGCGAGCACCGAGGCTTGGGCCTAGTCTTCGGGTTCCACTTTTTAAGATGAATACTGTGCAAGTTACGGCGTGTTATTATTACCCTAAACACGTTCAATATAGAATTACTGTTACATAATAAAACATTTAAACAATATATTTATTTTCAAGTTACTGTGGAGTCGTATCACGTTTTCCGTATGTTAATGTGTGTTAGTTCAGTTGGGTTATGCTGAACGAAGGGTCTGTAACCAAAGTAACAAGAGGCAGATTTTTGTTTAAATTCTGTAACAACAACAACAAAACCCCGCGCTGTGGTGCATTGCTTTCCTTAGTAAGTAACTGTCACGAAGCGGCACGCGGCCGACGAAAGCCCCTCGGTTAGGCCCTTTGAGCTCAGCAGCTGTTTCTCGTTGGCGACCCGGCCGACGGAACGGGCAATCGAATGCAAGCACGCCTGGCCGCCTTTGTCTCCCTAGCGGCGATGTTTTCACGTCGCACAAGGTACTCTTTTGAGGCTGAGTCGACCTAGGGACAGCCGTGTCTCTCTCAGTGGGTCCACGTGTGGGTGGGGGAGGTCTCGGGGACAGCCCGCTGTGCTGCTGCTCCTATTGTCTGACTGTTGTCTGTGTCTGTTGCTGCTCCTGTTGTCTGTATCTAACGGATCCAGCTACAGCAGCTGCTACAGCAACTTCTACAGCAGCAGCTACAAGTATAGATATTTTTGTTCTTTACCGCTTGTGTGTTAATCTGTGTTAACCCCGGATATTTTAGAGATGGCAATTCTCTTGCTGTGTATCCTACTGCTGTCCTTCCCGGCCATATCTCGTGCCACACTCAACTCTACAAACAGCTACCCTAATTACTTTGCGTCCATACTTGTTGCTCGATTTGCCACTACACCTGCAAATGAAACAGCTCATAGACACTTCTACACTCCATCATTGTATCCGTTTAAACCCTATCTTTGTCCCATTACTTCACCAGCACTCCTTCCAAACTTCATTCTGCTCTTAAAAATAACACCATCTGCGAGCTGCTGCTTATCGTCCAAGGTTCGCCGCTCTTCATCCTTTCACACAAAATGCTTGTGCAAACTATTAATTATACTTTTCTTATTTCTGGGTGGTATTGAGCTTCATCCTGGCCCAAATGTAAAGAACTCGTATAATTCTGCAGATTTTTCTGGCAGAAAAGGTGTTGGTGTTCTACATGTCAACATCAGAGGGCTTGTGACTAAATTAAGTCAACTAAAACTAGAAGTGGCAAATCTTGACCCGGACATTTTTTGCCTAACAGAAACATTTCTCACTCCTGCCGTCAATGACTTTCAGATTATGATTGACAACTACAACTTTTTTCGGCTTGACCGAGGATCTAAAGGAGGTGGAATTGCCATCTATGTTCGTAATACTATTGTATGTTCACCAGCTCACTCCTTGTTTAAAAAATGTTGCTTTGAAGGTTTAGCTCTCAGAATAACTCTCCCAAATAATCAACAGATATTGGTAGTGTGCTGCTATAGACCGCCTAGTGGGAAGGATGTTGAAGTTGCATCTGCACTGAGGAGAGCTTTTTGAGGGCCTCCCAAAAGGTTAAATAGTTTTAGTGGGTGATCTAAATTGGAATTGGCTAAACCCGCCGGCCATGGCCACAAATTTTACAGATGAATTTAACTTTTTTCAATTCATAAATGTCCCCACAAGACCCAACCTAAAAAATCCGGGACAGTCAACTCTGCTTGATGTCCTATTGATAAATGCCCCTCACAATTTCGCACTGACTGGTGTTCTGGGAAATAACCTTAGTGATCACTCCTTCATTTTTGGGGTGAGATCATCAGCCAGACCCAAAGCCCCCCCTAAAATTGTTGAGAAGCACTCTTTGAGGCACTTCAGCACTCAGGCATTTACTAATGATGTGCTTCACTTGGATATTGACAAGGTCTGTGATATCCCCAACCTGACTACGGCTTGGGAGACTTTCAGGTACACGTTTCTCCAAATTGTTAACAAACATGCTCCTTTGGTTAGATTTAAAACTAAAGATAACTGCCCACCATGGTATGATCCTTTGATTACAAAGCTCATGAAAACTAGGGACAAGGCTTGGGCATGTGCTCAGAAAAGTAATTTGGTAAATGACTGGCTAGAGTACAGGATTTTAAGGAATAGATGCAGGATTTTTTGGAAAACAATCAAATGTATCGAAAAGGCATCCAAAACAGACAATCTGCCTGTTGAGCTAAACCGAAATGGGGAATATTTTTCAGATCCCAAAAAAATAGTTGACAATTTTAACCTTCATTTTTCTGAAGCTGGTAATCTTTTTGATAATGTATTGGGAGTCATCCCTGCTCATGCAAATTCCTACACCCCTGTCGAAACATTAAACGAATTTAGTTTCCAGCCAATCCACGAAAGTAATGTTCTGAAACAGCTGTCCTACCTCAAAGGGTCCTCCTCTACCGGAGCAGATAGTTTTCCCGTCTTTGCTCTACAAACTGTTGGTCACCTAATATACAAACCTATAGCCCATAATTTCAACCTGTCCATCAAAGAAGCATCAGTTCCTCTAGAATGGAAACATTCCTATGTCCGTCCACTTCACAAAGGGGGCCCTAAAGATGATCCCAATAACTACCGACCTATCTCAATTTTGTCCCCACTGATGGAAATTTTTGAAAAATTATTGAACTACCAAATTAGCAGATTCCTGTCCACCAACAATCTATTACATCTAAAACAATCTGGGTTCCGAAAAAAATACAGCACCACATCTGCTGCATTAGACTCTCTGAATCAAATTTACAGTAGCCTTGATAATAAGCAGTACTGTGCCTGTCTTTTTCTAGACCTGTCCAAAGCTTTTGATACAGTAGAACACAACACCCTGCTTAGTAAACTAAGTTGCCTCGGTTTTTCCAAAAACACAGTAAAATGGTTAAAAAATTACCTCTTTTCTCGCACCCAAACTGTATTCACAGATGGTTGGAGGTCAAACAGTGTTAAGATAACAAAAGGGGTTCCACAGGGTTCCATCCTCGGCCCCCTCTTATTATCTCTCTATGTCAATGACTCGGGCACTGACCTGGATCATTCCAGGGTAAATCTTTTTGCAGATGACACGATACTGATTACTGCTGGCCGCTCTCCGGATGACGTGATTGCTAAGCTCCAGGGTGATTTCAACAAATTACAACATCAGCTAGTTGCTCTTAAACTAGTCCTAAATACCTCCAAAACCAAGGTGCTATGCTTCTCACCCGGACTAAAGCAGGAAGTTATTTTTCCCAAATTACATTCCTTAAATAATGATCAAATAGAGCAAGTCAAGTTCTATAAGTATCTTGGGGTCATCCTGGATTCAAAACTGAATTTTGAAGATCACATTGATTATATTGGTAAAAAGACAAAAATAAAAATATTTTTTCTGTATCGACACAAGCACTGCTTCCCCCCTATGTTCCGTTTGGAATTGATAAAAGCTACCATACTGCCTCTACTTGACTACTGTGACATCGTGTATAAATCAGCCCCAAGTACTGTACTGAAGAAGCTTGATTCCATCTATCACTCGGCCTTAAGATTTGCATTGAACTGCCCATATAGGACTCACCACTGTGATCTCTACATTGGGTCAAACTTAACATCTCTTAATGTTCGACGGCTTGTACACCAGATCTTATTTATTCACGATGTACTTACAAAAAAATCCGTAGACTACCTGCTGGATCTCCTCTCTGTTTCAAAGAACAAATTTGACCTCAGGTCTTCGCTCATTTACCAGCTTCACATTCCCTATTGCCGTACAAAAACTGGAGGAAGGGCCTTTGCTATTGATGCCTCCAGGGTCTGGAATGCTATTGCCAATAAACTGCAACTTGAATAGCTACCTATGAGATCTTCTCTTAAAACTGCTCTAGAGGAGTTGTACACCCCTAGCTGCCACTGCTATTCAGTGGCCTAAAATAAAATGTTTTGCTCCGGATGACCGCTGCAAAGTATTATCTGTATTTTGATTTAGTGTGCTGATCTTAAAGGTGCATTAAAACATGTTGATACTCCGACTGATGCTTCTGTTGTTGTGGAGTGACTCATGCAGCCAGCTGTGCCTCTAGGGTTTGGTGTTACATATTATTTATGTAGTTTATTGTTAAAAATTCGGTTACAGTTCCTATGATCACTGTTACATTGCATTTGTGGCTTTATTTTGGTGATTTCTAAAAGTTTTTTGGTTTGGCCATGTTTTTGTTTGTTGTAGTACGGAGTTAGACTGATGGCCTAAATCTAAGTTTTCTTGTTGTTGTTGTTTGACTTGCATCCCACTGGGATTTTTGCACACAGCGTTGGTGTACGGTGCTATTTCAGGAATATTTTGATGTTTTTTCCTGGATTTTCTGTTTACACAGTCACATAATCACTTTAAGATGTTTTATTGTTCATGTTTTTTGTTTGTTGCGGTTGCACCCGATTCAAGAGCCGAATGGCTCACAGGGCTATACCAACATAAATGAAACTATGAACTAACTATGGCTGCTGCTGCTGTTGTCTGTGTATGACTGTTGCTGCTCCTGTTGGCTGGTTGCTGCTGCTGCTCCTGATGTCTGTGTCTGACTGTTGCTGCTCCTGCTGTCTGTGTATGACTGTTGCTGCTCCTGATGTCTGTGTCTGACTGTTGCTGCTCCTGCTGTCTGTGTATGACTGCTGCTGCTCCTGATGTCTGTGTCTGACTGTTGCTGCTCCTGTTGTCTGTGTCTGACTGCTTCTGCTGTCTGACTGCTGCTGGTGTCCGACTGCTGCTGGTGTCTGCTGCTGCTGGTGTCTGACTGCTGCTGCTCCTATCGTTGAGGGGGGGGGGGTCCCTGTCCCCTCCCCGTGCTCTCGCGAAACTGAGCGACACGGAGACCCCCGCAGGCTCCCCCCGTGGGTTTTCGAGGAGGTTTTAACCGAAACCTTTCACGTCTCTGGTTCTTGCTGCCTCCTCAACTTCGTTGTGCCGAAACGTCAACAAACGCGATGCTCAAATCGATGTGCCTGCGCGTTTGACTCCGTGCTCTACAGATGGAACACTCTTTCATCTGAATTCTGCCAGTCGCTACCAAGCGGCTGTGTATAAATAGATCGTGATATTGCCCTCGCGGTCGTCATTGCTATCCTTCCACCACACACACACACCTCCGATTAGCATGGTTGAGGCCTACGTACGGTGTGAAAGGAGTTCAACATACATCATCGTCATCGACGGTTAGTTCTTGTTAACCGATAAGTAACAACTATTGCCGGTTGAATGTAACGTCGGTCTCGCCTTGACTTGTTCACCGTCCTCATGGAGCTCATGCCTCTACCGCTGTTGGTTCCCCTCCCCCACCCTCAGTGTGGCCGCCTGTGCTACCCTCCTGGTCGAAGCTGCCCGCCCTTCAGCTGCCCAGCGGCACGGTGCTCTTCTCGACCAATGCCATCTGCAGGTGCGGCGAGCCAGAGTCACCCTCACCAGTCACCCTCACCACCTCACCAGAGTCACCCTCACCAGAGTCACCCTCACCACCTCACTGCCTCACCACCTCACCAGAGCCACCCTCACCACCTCACCAGAGTCACCCTCACCGCCTCACCAGTCACCCTCACCACCTCACCAGAGTCACCCTCACCGCCTCGCCAGAGTCACCCTCGCCACCTCACCAGAGTCACCCTCACCGCCTCACCAGTCACCCTCACCAGAGTCACCCTCACCACCTCACTGCCGCACCACCTCACCAGAGCCACCCTCACCACCTCACCAGAGTCACCCTCACCACCTCACCAGAGTCACCCTCACCACCTCACCGGTCACCCTCACCACCTCACCAGAGTCACCCTCACCACCTCACCGGTCACCCTCACCACCTCACTGCCGCACCACCTCACCAGAGTCACCCTCACCACCTCACCAGAGTCACCCTCACCACCTCACCAGAGTCACCCTCACCACCTCACCGGTCACCCTCACCACCTCACCAGAGTCACCCTCACCACCTCACCGGTCACCCTCACCACCTCACCAGAGTCACCCTCACCACCTCACCAGAGTCACCCTCACCATCTCACCGCCTCACCACCTCACCAGTCACCCTCACCAGAGTCACCCTCACCGCCTCACCGCCTCACCGCCTCAGACCTGCGCGCCAGATGAGGGCCGTTGTCTTTCTGGAGTAATTTACCCTCCCCAGTTTTAGCGGGTAGTAGTCGCAGTTGGCTTTCGCGACAAATATTATCGTGAGAGTGTTTCTTTGGGACGTACCGTTTCCTTCGCCCCGGGCGCGGGGCCCTGCCGTCAGTGTCGCCAATGGACCCTTTCCCGCTCCGGGATTTGCCTGCAAGTCGCGGGGTTTCCGTTGTCCCGTTCACCTCTGAATCTCGGAACGCCGCAAGCGGCTCGGCGTTCATTTTATTTCGAGAGGCGTGGTAGCAGTGCCGTTGTTTTTAAAGACGTCGTTGCTCACCGCAGAGACCCGGAGCGACACGTCGGCCGCACTCTACGATAGATAGCCGGCGCCAAACTGTGTCGCACGCCCTCCCGTATGGACTTGTGGGAGCCTCGGTACCGATTAAGTTTAAATTTTTCTCCCGGGAAAGGGGTTCAATTACCTGCGAGGACAAACGCACGTTGGAACGAGTTGCGTAATCCACGCATAGCCTTGATTCTCCTTCCTTGTTTATTTTATTCTGTGTGCGTGTGTGTGTGCGTCTGTGTGTGGTTTTATTTTCCACAGGTACATGTTCGAGAGCTCTGGGCAGGAGCTGGGCACGGAGACCGATCAGTGTCTGGAGTGGGAGCACGCCGAGCTGGAGGTGAGAGAGATTTGTTGCACGTGATTGAACTCTGACCTCAGATCTCTTTCACACACGGGTGTACAGCCCTGTTTGTCCATCCACTGCTGGATGACGGCCTGCCCACGCCGTGCGGGTCGTTCGTTATTTGCCCGTACTTCAGGCTGGTCAGTGCAGGTTCGTGGAGGCCGGGGAGCCATAGATGGAGAACATAAGTACACTGTGCGGCCCCGACCACAATAGGGCTGCAACCTGTAAAATCACCCGCCATGCGTGGCGGTCGTCCCATCTGATCACTGTCCAGTCTCGGCCCTGATTTGCTTCCGAGATCTCATTCGATCGGTCGCGTTACCGGGGCGATTCCGAGATCTCATGAGATCAGTCGCGTTACCGGGGCGATTCCGAGATCTCATGAGATCGGTCGCGTTACCGGGGCGATTCCGAGATCTCATGAGATCAGTCGCGTTACCGGGCGATTCCGAGATCTCATGAGATCATTCGCGTTACGGGATGATTCCGAGATCTCATCGATCGGTCGCGTTACCGGGGCGATTCGGCATCCTAGGTCGCTGTTGTCTAGCCCGCGGCTGCGCCCGCGTCATCGTCGCCGCCGGTGCCGTCCAACTCCGACGTCGTGAACTTGCAGTCGTTCACGCCTGGTGCGTGGCCGGCTCGTCGATGGGCGATCGATCCGCAGACGGTCGTGTTTCTCGGATTGGTGATCCATCCCACAAACGTCACGGAAAACGAACCGTTGAATCCGGCTCGCTTCCAGCCACAACGGCGTCGATGGGGCAACGCGCGGACGTTGAAACCGCGCATGGAGCGCGTCCACGACCGGTCGAGGGGCGGCCAAGGCGCCAGCGGCGGGGCACGTCCATAGTGTGTAGTGTATAGTGTAGTGCATAGGGTAGTACGTGTAGTGTATATCAATGCAGTGTATGGTACTGGTGTGTATAGTGTAGTACGCATGTTGAACTTCTTTCATAACCTCCGTAGCCAACCGCGCTAATTGGAGGTGCAAAAAGCAGTTTAAAAAAAAGAGTTTTCAATCTATCTCTGGAAAGGGCTTCTTCCGAAGGCGCGCGGCTCGACTTTTATTTTTCACCATCGAGAGATTTGTCCGCGTTGGGTGCCGAACCGATACGATTGCTACCGATGGCGCTAAAAGACTGAACTTAAGCCTGCGTGCGTCCGTGCTCGCAGCCGGCGACGCTGGCATTGCTGCACGTGACGCTGGCGAAGGACCGCACTGGCGCGGAGCTGGCCGGCGCCCAGGAGGCCGCGATGGATCGCCTGCGCCAGATGGACGGCGCGCTCCGCTCAAGCGAGGGAGACTTTCTCTTGGGGGTGCGGAGTGCACGCGCAGACGGCAACAAAGACCCCCCCCCCCCCCCCCGTATAGCTCCCACCGACGGTTGCGCGAGTGCCGTTAGCGAGCAGCACTTACGGAGGCAAGGGGGGGGGCGGGTGGCCGGCACCACGCCCGGTCGCCTTCGTCACCGCAGTGGCGATGTTCACGCGCTGCGCCCAGGTACTCATTTGAGGCCGAGTCGACCTAGAGCGAGGCCCAGGACCGGTTCGGACAATCGTCACGGTAATTGTATCGCTTTCGACAGCACTTTCCCACGTTGCTCCGGTGATCTTTGTCTTCGAATTTATTTGTGGATGGGTATTTTTACGGGTCTGTATTCACGTGTAGGTCGACTGAGCCTCAAATGAGTACCTGAGTGCGATGTGTAAACATCGCCACTGGGGAGACAAAGGCGGCCAGGCGTGGTTGCTGTGCCACCCACCCCCTCGTGTGCCGTGCCGGCCTTCGTAGGTGGTGCCACACGCTAACAGCACTTGATAAGTTTATTGGTGGGGGTAGGGGGGGTCTTTGTTGTTGTATTCACATGTGTGTGTGTCTTTGTCGTTGTATTCACATGTGTGTGTGTCTTTGTTGTTGTATTCACATGTGTGTGTGTGTCTTTGTTGTATTCACGTGTGTGTGTCTTTGTTGTTGTATTCACATGTGTGTGTGTGTCATTGTCGCTGTATTCACGTGTGTGTGTGTGTCTTTGTTGTTGTATTCACGTGTGTGTGTGTCTTTGTTGTATTCACATGTGTGTGTGTCTTTGTTGTTGTATTCACATGTGTGTGTGTCATTGTCGCTGTATTCACGTGTGTGTGTGTCTTTGTTGTTGTATTCACATGTGTGTGTGTCTTTGTTGTTGTATTCACATGTGTGTGTATCTTTGTTGTATTCACATGTGTGTGTGTCTTTGTCGTTGTATTCACATGTGTGTGTCTTTGTTGTTGTATTCACATGTGTGTGTCTTTGTTATTGTATTCACATGTGTGTGTGTCTTTGTTATTGTATTCATATGTGTGTGTGTCTTTGTTGTTGTATTCACATGTGTGTATGTCTTTGTCGTTGTATTCACGTGTGTGTGTGTGTCATTGTTGTTGTATTCACATGTGTGTGTGTCATTGTCGCTGTATTCACATGTGTGTGTGTGTCGTTGTATTCACATGTGTGTGTGTCATTGTCGCTGTATTCACGTGTGTGTGTGTGTCTTTGTTGTTGTATTCACATGTGTGTGTGTGTCGTTGTATTCACATGTGTGTGTGTGTGTCTTTGTCGTTGTATTCACGTGTGTGTGCGCGCGCTTATTCATGGAGGACGTGCGTTTGTTTTTCCTGCGTGTGTTTCCGTTGTGCGTGTGCAGACGAAGCCAAGCCTGGCCGATCTTGTATTCTGGTCAACGCTCTTCCCCGTGTTTAGCGATCGTGTCCTTCCGCTAGGTCAGGCCTCGCCACTGCAACTCACGCTGCCGCCCGTAGCTGCACCGCACCTACGTTCACTCGGCATCGTTCAATCTCTTTCGCACGAAAAGCAGCTGTAACCGAGTAATCGCAGGTATTTTTTTTTCAACAATTGGGGGTGTTGTTTGGCCAGTACCAGTGACATTGTTTATTTAGCTATGAGAGGCAACTGGAGCCAACCCATGCTGAACAGGAAAAGAGAATACAAACTCTAATACACACTCACGCTCACTCTCGTACACTCTCACACACTCGCACTGCAGAACAGGGGGAGAGAACATAGCAACTCCACACTCGCACCCCGCTTTACACACTCTCGCACCGCACCTCCCGTTAGCACGGTTGGCTACGGAAGGTGCAAAAGGCGTCCAACATGCATGCATGTGTGCAGCATGCTAACGGCCACACGGCAAGGCCGTCCCGAGTCGGGAGTGGAACCCAGGTCCCCCTGGAGCTGCGAGCCACCGGCCTCACAAAGGCCTGACCTCTATCGTCATCTAACCCCCAGCGGAGGAAGCGGACTCCGTGACGAGGCTGCGGGCGTGGTTTCACGCCGTCACGTCGCACCCGCGCCTGCGGGAGACCTCCGACGTCGCCGCGCGGAAGTTCGACTCCGGTCCGGCGGCCGCCTGCGGCGACTGGATCTCGAAGCGCCCGCGGCAGCGGCCGTCGCCGCGGGCGCCCGGGCACGTCCTGCACCTCGGAAAAGCCGCGGTGAATGAGCCGGCGGTGGGCGGGGCTGCTGCTGCCGAGATTTAAAAGTCACTTGCTGGGGTTGAGCGCCGCTTTAGAGTTGGCCTCCACTTGCGGTTGGAGCGGTGAGAGTTAGACCACGGGGGTTTATGAACATTTACCTTACTCGGGGCCGAATGTGTTATTGGAGTTGGGAGTTGGGGGGGGGCAGGGGGGATGTGTGGGAGGGGACTGTTGACCATATTTCACCGTGCCGGTCAGTACAGTTTGACTGATGGCAGCACTCGTAGTGTGTTTGTGTGTTATGGTTCAACTTTGGGGGGAGCGGTGGTGTAAAATGAACAAGACAAACTCCACACACACATATACTGCGATGTGGAGCTGGCGACCCGAGTTTGGTTCCCGCTCACGGCCGAGATCGGTGATGAATATCTGAAGCTGTTCCGGGCCTCCACTAGGTGAACTCAGCCTTGAATTAGTTCCTGGTGCGGTGTGTAAACATCAGCACTGGGGACGACGAAGGCTGCCGTACGTGGTGTTGGCCACCCACCCAGGATGCCACTGGAGCTATGCACTTTTAAATCCAGATTTAAAATTAATTTCTTAAGAACTGTTTTTTGTCCATTAAATTAGTTTTTTTTGTGTTAGATTATGTAAATATATAAATGTGTCGTTAAACCCGCCACCACTCGACACAGCCAATTAGCAAGGTTTGTCACGTGAACAGAACGTGCCAGTTCGTTACTAGTACAGCACTAATCGGTGTGTCGGAGAGCAGATCCACAACATTTTTCCGAGGACTCGGATTGTAAATGTTGTGGATTTGCTCTCCAACACACAACTGGTTAGTGCTGTACAAGCAACGAATTGGCCGCGTTCTGTTTACGTGACAACCCTTACTAGTCGGCTGGTCGCGAAAGCCTACGTGTTAAACTGCTTTTTGCATTTCGTTTGATGTCCTTCCCCCGCACCTCCGATTAGCACGGTTGCCTACGTACGTACATACACACACGAGTGCAACTCGCGAACAGCACTTGCCCCGAACGTCTGCTGAGGCTATACGGGGGGTGGGTGGGGGGATCTTCGTCTCTGTGTGGGGCGTAGGAGCCGCAGAATCAGAGCAAGATGACCCCGCAGTTTGCCCCTGGAAGGGGCCCCCGGAGGCCACGCAGGAAGTGAGCGACGAGGAGGCGAGCAGGGCAAGGGAGGCGTTCCTGCAGGGCTACGCGGGGCTGCCCAAACCGCGAGTCGCCACTCACCCCGTGTGAGCGCCAGACGGCGGTCTAGAGAGCGTGCTGGGCGGTTTCCACTGGAATCGCGTTTGTGTGTGCGAGTGTGTGTGTGTGTCGGTATGTGTGTGACGATTATCTGAACCGGTCCTGGGCCTCCCCTAGGTCGTCTCAGCCTCAAGTGAGTACCTGGTTGCGGTGTGTAGTAAACATCGCCACTGGGGAGACAAAGGCGGCCGGGCGCGGTGTTGGCCACCCACCCCCTCGTGTGCCGTGCCAGCCTTTATTGGTGCTCGCTAACAGCACTTGCTCCTACAGAGTATGGATCCTACAGTCTTGTTAAGGCTATATGGGGGATTTTTTTGTGTGCGTGTGTGTGGGGAGCGGTAGTGTCGTGGTTAGTGCGCTGCGCGATGAACCTTGTTACCCAAGTTCGATTTCCGCTCACGGCCAACACCGGTGACGATTATTTGAACCCATTCTGGGCCTCCCCAAGGAAGAGTCGGCCTCATGAGTACCTGGTGCAATGTGTAAACATCACCACTAGGGAAACAAAGGCGGCCGGGCGTGGTGTTGGTCACCCACCCCCTCGTGTTATGTTCTGGCCTTCATAGGTGCTGCTTGCTAACAGCACTTGCCCAACAGTCTGTAAAGGCTATACGGGCAATCTCTGTCTTTTGTGAGTATGTGAGTGTGTCAGTGTGGTGTATATGCGAGTGTGTGTGTGTCGATCCATGGCACCTGGGTCTGCCCTGTGACCTGCCAGCGGGGGTTCGACACTTCACGTGGCCTTAACGTGCACATAGCCTGGCACAAGCGCCGTTGCGACATCACCGCCACTTAGTGGCGAATGTCGGTTGTTGTTGTTGTGTGCGAGTGTCGTGCCGACCTTCAAAGTCTGTTACAGGCTACGCGGGTGACCTTTGTCTTTGTGACCCTCACCTGAGTTTGTCTCTCCGGCCTTCATAGGTGCTGCTCGCTAACATCACTTTACCCCAACAGTCCGTGGAAGGCTACACGGGTGACCTTTTGTCCTTGTGTGTTCCCCAGTCTGCCGCAAAAGGGCGAGAAGAACATTCTGATCACGAGCGCTCTGCCGTACGTCAACAACGTGCCGCACCTCGGCAACATCATCGGCTGCGTGCTGAGCGCCGACGTCTTTGCACGGTGACCTTCCGGCATCAGAACATTCACCCTGGAGAAATCCGACGGGCCAAGAAGCTCTTTGTCAAAGGGGGCGAATCGGCCGGCAGGCAACATCAAAGCGCATCACGGGACCCCCCTTGCCAGTATCAAAATATAAAAATAGGTTTTACCCTTTATGGCAATAGAAAGGTGTTAAGAAGTTTTAACATCAAAGCGTTACACAATTACAGGTTAAAAACAAACTCCATAATAATAGCTGTGACAGTAATACCCCCGATTGATAATGATGATGGTGTTGACGAGGGTGGTGACAACGACGACGATGATCCATAATATATATTTTTTGGGTTGGATCGCGTCAATATAAAAGTGTCGTTAAACCCGCCACCACCCGACAGCCAACCAGTAAGTTTTGTCACGTAAACAGAACGTGCCAATTCGTTACTGTTACAGCACCGCCGGTGTGTTGGAGAACAAATTCACAACATTTACAATCTTGAGTACGACGTTTCACCAGTAATTACAACGAGCTTCATCAGGCGACAGCCAGATTTGTGGATGATATTGGTCGCCCAATGATGATGATGATGATGGTGACGATGATGGCGATGATGTCGATCATGGCGGTGACAATGGCGATCACCGTGATCGCGATCACGATAATAATAATAATAATACCGCGCCGACGCCGGGCGCGACCAGGTACTGCCGCCTGCGTGGCCGGAACACGCTGTACGTGTGTGGCACGGACGAGTACGGCACGGCCACCGAGACCAAGGCCGTGGAGGAGGGGCTGAGCCCGCGGGAGATCTGCGACAAGTACCACGCGCTGCACGCCGATGTCTACCGATGGTTCGGCATCTCCTTCGACTACTTCGGCCGGACGACCACGGCGCTGCAGACCCAGTGGGTCGTCGCGCGTCCGCCCCTGACCCCCGTCGCCACCTCCTCGTGCCACCTCGTGCCTCCTGTTACACCTCTTCACATCGCTTACCTCCTAGCACCTCCTCGCACCTGACTCTCTTCCGCGCTGTCCTTCACCTCCGCCGCGTTTCACTGTTGAGTCCGCCTCTCGCTCTCCCCCCGGCAGGCCTACACGCGGCCTGTGACGCCTGCCGCGCCCTCTGTTCACCCCAACTATTGCGTCTGCCCCCTCTCTGCGCTTCCCACTCCGATGTTCCCTCCCCCACCCCGCCCTCACCGCAGGATCGCGCAGGACATATTCTGGCGTGTGCGTGAGCGTGGCTTCCTGCTCACCGACACGGTGGAGCAGCTGCACTGCGAGCGTTGCTCTCGCTTCCTGGCCGACCGCTTCGTCGAGGGCACCTGCCCCCTGTGCGGCTACGGCGACGCCCGCGGGGACCAGTGTGACAAGTGTGGGCGCCTCATCAACGCCGTCGAGCTCAAGGTGCGCGGGCGGGGGGCCTGGGGGGTGGGGGGCCTGGGGGGGTGGGGGCCTGGGGGGTGGGGGTGTGGGGGGGTGGGGGCCTGGGGGGGCGGGGGGGGGGGGCCGGTGTGTGATTTTTCCGAACTGCCCAGACGTGCGAGTGCCTGGGCCCGCGTGTAACGACGACGGTCTCCCCTCGCCCCGCCAGAACCCGCAGTGCAAGATCTGCAGGGACACGCCAGTGGTCAAGTCGTCAGAGCACCTCTTCCTCAACCTCCCCAAGGTGACACACCCCCTCGCCCCCCTCCCCACCTCCCTCATGCTCCCACCTCCATCCCTCTCTCCCCCCTCCCTTCCTCTCCCCCCCCCCCTCCCCCCCTCCCCTCTCCCTCATGCTCCCCACCTCCCTCCCTTCCTCTCTCCCCCCTTCTCCCTCCCTCCCCCCCCTCCCTCCCTCCCCCCCCTCCCTCCCCCCCCTTCCCCCCCTCCCTCCCTCCCCCCCCCTCCCTCCTCCCTCCCTCCCCCCCTCCCCCCCTCCCCCCCCCCTCCCTCCCTCCCTCCCCTCCCCCCCCCTCCCTCCTTCCTTCCCCCCCTCCCCCCCCCGTCCCCCCTTTCCCCCCTCCCTCCCATCAGTATCATCCCTGAGCTTTACTCTCTGCGTGTTCTCTCCCCCCCCCATCCCCCCCCTCCTCCTCCTCCCCCCCCCCCTACCGCCGCCCCTCCCAGCTGGAGGCTCCGCTGCAGGCGTGGCTGGAGGGGGCGTGGGCGGGCGGCGACTGGACGGCCAACGCCCGGCTCATCACACGCTGCTGGGTGCGCGACGGCCTCAAGCCACGCTGCATCACCCGGGACCTTCAGTGGGGCACGCCGGTGCCACTCGAGGGCTTCACTGACAAGGTGGGGGCTGGGTGGGGGGTGGGGGGGGTGGGTGGGGGGTGGGTGGGTGGGGGTGGGTGGGGGGTGGGTGGGGGTGGCCACCCGCTAGCGTACCCTCCACGTGATTCCCACCCCCATCTCTCACTACCCCTGCCACAGAACTAAATCCCACCCCCCCCACCTCCCGATGTTGTAACCCTGCCTTGACCCTGCCTTGACCCCGCCTTGACCCCGCAACCCAAACACTCGGCCTCTATCCCCTGATGCCTACCCCTCCCTCTATCCCCTGATCCTACCCCGGCCTCTATCCTCTGATGCCTACCCCTGCCTCTTATCCCCAAATCTCATCGACATCCCATTAACCTTATCCCCCTAACTCCATGCTGAGTCGTGTTTGCTAGCTCCCGTCTGAACACGACCCCTAACCCTCCACACTTGTCTATGTTACACAAAGACAAGTGGTAGTCGTAATGAAGTTGATTTATTTTCACGATGAAGCTGCACCTGTCCCCGGTTCCCTGTACCTCCCTAACCGCCCACCCCCCGCGCCGCGCCCACGGGCTGCACCCACCGTGCCGCCACCCTTGCCGGCCGCTCGCAGGTGTTCTACGTGTGGTTCGACGCGCCCATCGGATACCTCTCCATCACGGCGAACTACACACCGCACTGGGAGCGCTGGTGGAAAAACCCCGACGAGGTGAGCGAGGTGTGGGGCGGTGGGGGGGGGCCGGGTGGTGGGGGGGGGGGGGGCCGGGTGGTTGGGGGGTGGGGAGGGGGGGGAGGACGCGGTAGCGAGGAACCGAGGACCCGGGGAAAAATCGACGCGACCACGGTGGAGAGAGAGACGCGCAAAATACAGCAGGCGTCAGGGCTCGGCATTGAACCCACGACCCCCTGCTACCCCCCTCCGCCACCGCCCCACCTTGCAGGTGACGCTCTACAACTTCATGGCCAAGGACAACGTCCCCTTCCACAGCGTCGTCTTTCCCTGCTCGCTGATCGGCGCCGACCAGAACTTCACGCTCGTCAACTCGCTGATCGCCACGGGTAACCCCCCCTCCCCTCCCCTCCCCCGCCCCCCTCCCCCCCACCCTCCGTCATCGCCATCCTTCCCCGTTCCCCTACCGCCCTCCTCAATCGGAGGGACGGAACTGCGTCCCTGGCTGCCGTGGACGCGTGGATTTTTCTCCGCATCCTCCGGTTTTTCCCGTGCACGTCTCGGTTCGTCGTCGCGCGTTCACGGTGTCTGGCCGCCGCTGGACACTTCCACGCGGCGAGGATGAGCCGCTGGACACTTCCACGCGGCGAGGATGAGCCGCTGGACACTTCCACGCGACGAGGATGAGCCGCTGGACACTTCCACGCGACGAGGATGAGCCGCTGGACACTTCCACGCGACGAGGATGAGCCGCTGGACACTTCCACGCGACGAGGATGAGCCGCTGGACACTTCCACGCAACGAGGATGAGCCGCTGGACACTTCCACGCGACGAGGATGAGCCGCTGGACACTTCCACGCGACGAGGATGAGCCGCTGCTTCGTTGAGGAGGTCGCTTCTGAAAAAGAGCTACACACAGCAGCTCAGGGGGGCCTTAGCTCGTAAAGTAATACATAGTTTCAATCTTCACTTAAAGCTTTCGTGACTGCAGGAATTCATACTGTTTGGGTCTTACGGTAAAGTCACGTAGATTACCTACGTAGATAATCTGCGTGACTTTACCGGAAGACCCAAAGAGAATAAATAGTTTAGTTTATCGTATGTTTAACTTCTTTCACATCTTACGTATTGTCATGTATAGTGTTGTATGTGTAGTGCATAGTGTAGTGTATAGTGCAGTATGTATGTATGTATGTTGAACTTCCTTCGCACCGTGCGGAGCCAACCCTGCTAATCTGTGTGGGGGAAGGATAGCACAGCTCCTAGTGGGCTTTCTAATATCGGAAGGAAGAGCATTCCAGATGGCCGCAGAAGCGCTTCTGCAAGCACGAGATGCAGTGACCGTCTTTGTTTGATGGTTAGCCAGAAACCGCTCTGAGGTTGGTCGGAGTTTGCGTGATGGTGGTTTTCTGCCCCTTGACGAGATGGGCAGTATTGTGGTTCGGCAAGGTGACATCGCGTGAGACCCTGGGCCCCGTGACATCGCTGGGCGTGCGTGCGTGTGTGTGTGTGCGTGTCGCAGTTCATTCATAGGTGCTGCTCGCTAACCGCACTTGGGCCAACAGTCTGTTCAGGCTACACGGGGGGGGAATGTTTGTGGCGGTCAGCGCTACGCCGTGGTACTAACCCGGCGGCACGAGCTCGATTTACCGCTCACGGACACCGGCGCCAGTGACGATTGTCTGAACCCCTCGGTGAACTCGGCCTCAAATGAGTACCTGGTGCTGTGTGTCGCAAACGTCGCCACCGGGGAGCTAAAGGCGGCCGGGCGTGGCTCCGGCCACCCTCCCCCCCCCCGCCTCCTTCCCATGTGCCATGCCGGCCTTCAGAGGCGCCACTCCCTCACAGCACTTGGCCCCAACGGTCTGTCGAGGCTACACGGGGGATCTTTGTCTTTGCGCGCCGCCCTGCCGCAGAGTACCTGAACTACGAAGACGGAAAGTTCTCCAAGAGCCGCGGCGTCGGCGTGTTTGGCGACCAGGCGCGCGACACCGGCATCCCCGCGGACGCGTGGCGCTTCTACCTGCTGCACCTGCGGCCCGAGAGCCAGGACAGCACCTTCAGCTGGGCCGACTTCCTGCTCACGCACAACGCCGAGCTGCTCAACAACCTCGGCAACTTCGTCAACCGGTGCGGGCGGTAGTGTGCGGTAGTGTGACAATGGCGAGATGTTAACCACCTCGCCTGGTACACAGGAGGTTGTAGGTTCGATCCTGACCCCGACGCCTGCTGCTGTATATTTGGAGTTTGCGTGTCTCTCTCTCTCATCATCATCACGGTGACTAGGAGATGTTAACTACCTCGCCTGGTAGACAGGAGGTCGTGGGTTCGATCCTGACCCCGACGCCTGCTGCTGTATATTTGGAGTTTGCGTGTCTCTCTCTCATCATCATCACGGTGGCTAGGAGATGTTAACTACCTCGCCTGGTCTACAGGAGGTCGTGGGTTTGATCCCGCCCCTGCTGCTGTATATTTCGAGTCTGCGTGTCTCACTCTCTCCGTGGTCGCGTGGATTTTTCTCCGGGTCCTCCAGTTTTTTCCCTCCACATTTAGAATCAACATCACCACGTGTTTAGAGTGTTTGGCTGTCGCTATCAATTTCCACACAATATAGCTCAGTGGGCCTTACCTGTTAAAACAAAAATAGTTTAGTCAAAGTGCGCTATTAATTCGATGGGCCTGAGTTGGCGGCGGCGTGGGGAGCTGTTCATCCAGCAGTGGAATGACCATGGCTGACGACGCTGTTGATGGGAATGTGTACAGGTACGCGTGTACTCTTGTCTGTGTGAGTGTGTATGTATCTGCCCGTGTGTGTGTATCGGTGTATGTGCGCACGTATGTACATGTATGTGTACACGTGTGTGCGGGCGTGGTGCTGGCCACCCACCCCGTGCCGGCCTTCATAGGTGCTCGCTAACAACACTTGCCCCCAACAGCCTGTTAAGGCTTTGGACGGGTGAGTGGGTGAGAGGGTGAGCGAGTAGCTGGGTGGGCTAGCAGGCGGGTGGTCAAACGAGGTGGTGAGCGATGGGTGAGCAGACATGGAGGCACGTGGGAAGGAGTGAGTGGGTGAGCGAGTTGGTGAGTGGGTGGTGTGGGCCAGCCAGCTGGCTTGGCGCGTGGGCGAGTGGGTGAGCCGGCGGACATCTGTGAAAAAGAGCTTCATAGCTCATCGTATTTCCTCCAGCATTAATAAATACTCTGATTCTGAACGGGTGAGTTAATTAGAACGGGTGAGTTAATCAGTACGCCCCACGGAAGCGTGTCTCGCAGAACTACCTGTAAGATCCCTTTCCAAGTGACCTCCGTTCCGCACAGCCGGTGCGCTTTGCCCACCTTCCTTGCCGCCGAGAGTGACGCTCATCGCGGAGTCGGCAATCGCGGGAGTTGAGCCAAAGGAAGAGCAGTGGGCAGATCCCGATTTGAACGCGCCGCGGTCATCTGCGACCGGGCCGAGACCACCGACTCGCCTAGCTCGAGGTACCCGGCTCGGCGTCTCTGACATGTGACCTGGCCCACCCCCCCCCCCGTTCCCCCCCACCGTCCCCTGCGCCCCCTCCCTCCCGCTGTCCCGCTGTGTGCGTGCGTCGCCCGTGCCGTGCGCAGCGCCGGCGTGTTCGTGGTGAAGTTCTTCGAGGGGCGAGTGCCGCCCATGGAGCTGACGGCGGACGACGCGCGCCTCTTGGCGCTGGTGACGCGCGAGCTGCACGCGTACACACGCCTCCTCGACAAAGTGCGGTGAGCGCACGCACGCGCGCGTCTGTGGCTTTGTCTTTACGTGTCTGCGCGTGTGTTTGTGTGTCTTTGTCTTTGCGTGTCTGCGCGTGTGTGTGTGTCTGCGCGTGTGTGTGTGTCTGTGCGTCTGTGGCTTTGTATTTACGTGTCTGCGCACGTGTGTGTGTGTCTGTGCGTGTGTCTTTGTCTTTGTGTGTCTGCGCGTGTGTGTGTGTCTGTGCGTGTGTCTGTGTGTCTTTGTCTTTGCGTGTCTGCGCGTCTGTGCGTGTCTTTGTCTTTGTCTGCGCGTGTGTGTGTCTGCGCGTGTGTGTGTCTGTGCGTGTGTCTGTGTGTCTTTGTCTTTGCGTGTCTGCGCGTGTGTGTGTGTGTCTGTGCGTGTCTTTGTGTGTCTGCGCGTGTGTGTGTGTCTGTGCGTGTGTCTGTGTGTCGTTGTGTGTCTGCGCGTGTGTGTCTGTGCGTGTGTCTGTGTGTCTTTGTCTTTGCGTGTCTGCGCGTGTGTGTGTGTCTGTGCGTGTGTCTGTGTCTTTGTCTTTGCGTGTCTGCGCGTGTGTGTGTGTCTGTGTGTCTTTGTCTTTGCGTGTCTGTGTGTGTCTGTGTGTCTTTGTCTTTGCGTGTCTGTGTGTGTGTGTGCGTCTGTGCATGTGTCTGTAGTGGCTTTTCGTTGTTTCTGGAGGAGCCCCGAGGGTAGAGATTCAATCTCCTGGTTCCGCCAATTGGGGTTTGGCCAGGAGACGTCATAGACGCCTGTCCCCCCGGGGCCTCCGGCACAAGCTTATTAGTTATATATTTTAGTCGTAGTTTAGTGGTAATGAATTGAAGGTGGAGGGGTTATCAGCCCCTCGCATCCGTCCAGAGCCCCCGTTTAGCCCCTGTGGTGGTTACAGACGCCATGAGGGGAGGAGCCAATCGGAATTGGCCCTCCCCCCACAGCACTGTCCACGACAGAGTTGCCCGTCCGGCACCACGAGTAGGTAGGGGGTTGTTTTACCGGACAACGGAGGGCGGAGGAGCGATGCTCACAACGAGCGGAGCGCCGGGTGGCTAGAGCACAGCAGGTTGGCACAGTAGGGGGCACAGGTGGTGCATCAGCCAGTCATCTCGGCCATCTTAGTCAGTCGACCCGTGGCACTTGGGTCTGCCGTGTGACCTCCTGCCCGCGGGCGTTCGACACTTCACGTGGCCTCAAGGTGCACATGGCCTGGCACAAGCGTCGTGGTGACGTCACCGCCACATAGTGGCGAATGGCGGTTGTTGTTGTTGCGTGTGTTTGTGTGTCTGTCTTTGCGTGTCTGCGCGTGTGTGTGTGTCTGCGCGTGTGTGTGTGTCTGTGCGTGTGTCTGTGTGGGGAGTGGTGAGTGGTAGTGTAGCGGTTTGCGCGCTGCGCTATGAACCCGGCGACCCGAGTTCGATTCCCGGTGCTGGGCCTCCCCTAGGTCGACTCAGCCTCAAATGAGTACCTGGTACGGTGTGTAAACATTGCCACTGGGGAGACAAAGGCGGTCGTGCGTGGTGCTGGCCACCCACCCCCGCGTGTACCGTTCCGGCCTTCATAGGTGCTCACTAACAGCACTTGCCCCTACAGTCTGTTAAGGCTACACGGGGGAACTTTGAACTTTGTGTCTGTGTGTCTGTGTGTCTTTGTCTTTGCCTGTCTGCGCGTGTGTGTGTGTCTGCGCGTGTGTCTTTGTGTGTGCGCCTCAAAGTGCACCCGGCCCCACAGGCGCCGTGGTGACGTCACCACCACTTAGCAGTGAATGGCGGCTGTTTTTGTTGTGTCTGTGTGTCTGTGTGTGGAGAGTGGTGGTGTAGCGGTTAGCGCTACGCTGCGCTTCGAACCCGGCAGCCCGAGTTCGATTCCCGCTCACGGCCAACACCCAGTGACGAATGTCTGAACCGGTCCTGAGCCTCCCCTCGGTCGACTCAGCCTCAAATTAGTACCTGGTGCGATGTGCAAACATCGCCACTGGGGAGACAAATGTGGCTTGGCGTGGTGTTGGCCACCCACCCCCTTTGTGCACCGTCCCAGCCTTTACAAGTGCTGTTCACTCACAGAGCTTGCCTCAGCAGTCTCTTATAGGCTACACGGGGGACCTTTGTCTTAAATGCAGCCGGGCGTGGTGCTGATCGCCCACCCCTCCTGTGCCAACTTTCATAGGCGCTGCTCACTCGCAGCACTTGCCTCAATAGCCTTTGTGGGCTACACGGGGGATCTTTGTCTCTGTGCGTGCAGGATACGGGACGCCCTGCGCTGCATATTCAACATCTCGCGCCATGGCAACCAGTACATTCAGCTGCACGAGCCGTGGAAACGCGTCAAGGGCTCGGAGAGCGAGAGGTACGAATGTGCGTGTGACGCTTTAGGCTGGAGAAGAGATGGAGCTGATGCGGCACAAGAGGATGTGGTAGCCGAGTGGACTTGCTGATGACTGGTAGCAGCGGTGTCAAGATCGGCCTCTGTGGAGGAGGCTCGTGAAGGACGCTGCTGCTGCTGCTGCTTACTGGGCAGTTGGAGGCAGTCGCCCTCCAGCAACAATGGAGGAGCCACGCTCACAACAACGAGCGGAGCGCCGGGCAGATAAAACGCAGAAAGTTGCCACAGTAGGGGGGTACAGCTGGTGTGCATCTGCCAGTCATCTCAGTCAGCCAACCCATGGCACCTGCTGGGTCTGTGCCGTGACCTCCTGCCAACAGGTATTCGACACTTCACGTGGCCTCAAAGTGCACCTAGCTTGGCACAAGTGCCGTGGTGACGCCACCGCGAATGATGGTTGTTCTTGGCGTTTCGGGTAATGGTCCTTCATCATGTGCTGTGAAGAAGAGTGATTCTGTCGAGTACTACTCTATGTACTATATGGAGTACTCTGTCTCTATTCCATTGCCTCTCTGCTCTATAGTCGTACGGGCCCTGTCCTCGTCAGGGATTGGAAGCGGGGCTTCTTCCTTTCCACGTCGGCACCCCGAGGAAGCAGCAGCAGCAGTCGTAGTAGTAGCAGCAACAGCAGCAGTAGCAGCAGCAACAACAGCAGTAGCAACAACAGCAGCAACAACAACAGCAGCAGTAGCAGCAGCAACAACAACAACTGCAGTAGCAACAACAGCAACATCAGTAGCAGCAACAACAGCAGTAGCAGCAGAAACAACAGCAGCAGCAGCAACAACAGCAGTAATTACAACAGCAACATCAGTAGCAACAACAGCAGCAGTAGCAGCAACAGCAGCAGCAACAGCAGCAGCAACAACAGCAACAGCAGCAGCAACAACAGCAACAGCAGTAGCAACAACAGCAACAGCAGTAGCAACAACAGCAGCAACAACAGCAACAGCAGCAGCAACAACAGCAACAGCAGTAGCAACAACAGCAACAGCAGTAGCAACAACAGCAGCAACAACAGCAACAGCAGCAGCAACAACAGCAACAGCAGTAGCAACAACAGCAACAGCAGTAGCAACAACAGCAGCAACAACAGCAACAGCAGCAGCAACAACAGCAACAGCAGTAGCAACAACAGCAACAGCAGTAGCAACAGCAGCAGCAACAACAGCAACAGCAGCAGCAACAACAGCAACAGCAGTAGCAACAACAGCAACAGCAGTAGCAACAGCAGCAGCAACAGCAACAACAGCAGCAGCAGCAGCAGCAACAACAGCAACAGCAGTAGCAACAACAGCAGTGGCATGCCGACGATCGTGCGGTTCCGCTTCCTCTCAGTTCTCCGCTCGTTTATTGTCGTCGTCGTCGTTCTCCCTCTCCCCTCCCCTCCCTTGCCCACTCCTTATTTTCTTTTTGGTTTCTATTTGGCTTTCATGCCCCTTTTTTTTGTTTTACTTTCAATAAATATATAACACAGGTCACACTTTGCCGTGTGACATCAACCCCCCACCGTGTGGCCCCCTCCGGTCGCGTGCCAGGTCGCGCGCCGCCACGGTGACGGCCGTGGCGGTGAACGTGGCGGCGCTGCTCTCGGTGATGCTTGGCCCCTTCATGCCGACCGTGGCGGGCGCCATCCGTGGGCAGCTGCTGGCGCCGCCCGACCGCGACGTGCTGACCGACAGCTTCGCGTGCGCCCTCCCGCCGGGCCACGCCGTGGGCACGGTACGCGCGCGGGCACGGGGTGTGCCGCGGGGTGGGGCCCGCCCACCGGCTGGGGAGGGCGAGGGCTGCGAGCGAGCGGGCGCGCCCAATGTGAAGGCCGGAGCGGCGCGGCGCGGCGCCGTGCCGTCGGCTCCTCGCCCGGCCGCCTTTGTCTCCCCCTCCCCTGATGTTTGCACACCGTTCCGTGGGAGCTGTTGGCTACCCGTGCGTAGGCATAGCACATGCGCACGCACACGCGGGGTGCACGCGCACACAGGGTACACACGCACACACACAGGGTACACACACACACAGGGTACACACACACACAGGGTACACACACATACAGGGTACACACACATACAGGGTACACACACATACAGGGTACACACACACACAGGGTACACACACACAGGGTACACACACATACAGGGTACACACACATACAGGGTACACACACATACAGGGTACACACACATACAGGGTACACACACATACAGGGTACACACACATACAGGGTACACACACATACAGGGTACACACATACACAGGGTACACACATACACAGGGTACACACACACACAGGGTACACACATACAGGGTACACACACACACAGGGTACACACACATACAGGGTACACACATACAGGGTACACACACACACAGGGTACACACATACACAGGGTACACACACACACAGGGTACACACACATACAGGGTACACACATACAGGGTACACACACACACAGGGTACACACACACACAGGGTACACACACATACAGGGTACACACATACAGGGTACACACACACACAGGGTACACACATACACAGGGTACACACATACAGGGTACACACACACACAGGGTACACACATACACAGGGTACACACACACACAGGGTACACACACATACAGGGTACACACATACAGGGTACACACACACACAGGGTACACACACATACAGGGTACACACACACACAGGGTACACACACATACAGGGTACACACACACACAGGGTACACACAGACACACACGGGTACAAAGATCTACACCATAGTATGTAGCAGACTGTTGGGGAAAACTTTATTGGCGGGTAGCACCTATGAAGGCGGGCGGACGACACGGCGGCACACGAGGGAGTGGTGTGGCCACTCCCTCGTGTGCCGTGTCGCCACACCCGGCCGCCTTTGTCTCCCCACTATTGCACACCGCAAACAGCTACTCGTTTTAAGGCTGAGTCGAACTAGGGGAGGTACAGGATCGGTTCAATTCGTTTGCCGCCGTTATTGGTCGTGAAGCTGGCGATACACACGGTACGTGTGGTGATGCGGTTTCGGTGATGCGCTGTATTGTGGTGTGGATAGTGGTGATGACGTGTTGTGGTGGCGCGGTTGTGGTGGCGCGGTTGTGGCGGCGCGGTTGTGGTTGTGGTGGGGCGGTTGTGGTGGTGCGGTTGTGGTGGTGCGGTTGTGGCGGCGCGGTTGTGGCTGCGTGGTTGTGGCTGTGGTTGTGGTGGGGCGGTTGTGGCTGTGTGGTTGTGGCTGTGTGGTTGTGGCTGTGTGGTTGTGGCTGTGTGGTTGTGGCTGTGTGGTTGTGGCTGTGTGGTTGTTGTGGCGACGCAGTTGCGGTGAGGGGCGATTGTGACGGCGTGGTTGTGCCGGTGTGTTTGCGGTGGGCCAGGTGAGCCCACTGTTCCAGAAGCTGGAGATGGCCCACATGGACGAGCTGAAGAAGAGATTCGCTGGCAAGCAGGTGACACCTCGCACCGCGCCAAAACAAACAAAACAAGGATCCCCCGCGTAGCCTCAACAGACTTGTGGGGCAAGCGCCGTTTGTGAGCACCTATGACAGCCGGCACGGCACACGTGGGGGTGCGTGGCCAGCATCACGCCCGGCCACCTTTGTCTCCCCAGCGGCCATGTTTACACACCGCACCGCGTACTCAATTGAGGCTGAGTCGACCTACGGGAGGCCCCGGGACCGGTACAAATAATTGCCACCGCTTTTGGTCGTCGTGAGCGGGAATCGAACTCGCGCCGCCGAGTTCTTAGCGCTGCGCGCAAACCGTTACGCTTCCACTCCCCACACATTGCACCACAGCCTGCACCACAGCCTGCACCACAGCCTGCACCACAGCCTGCACCACAGCCTGCACCACAGCCTGCACCACAGCCTGCACCACACCGTGTTTCTGCACCACTCGCTTCACCCATCGCCGGTTTTGCTTTCTCACCAGAACGGCTCCCCCTCCGTGGTTGCCAATGGACCGGCGGCAGCCACGGCAACCGCGGAGACCGCGTCCTCAGCAACCGCTGCCACGGCTGTTGCTACGGCAACCGCCGAAGACGTTCAACAACTCGCGGAGGAGGTCGCCAAGCAGGTACGGGGGTCAGGGCGGGGAGGGGGTGTAAGGGTCTGAGGTCAAAGGTCGATATTTTCCCCCATGGTTTTTCCTCCGGACTAGACTCGGTGCTCCGACACGGCCATTATGAACCCTCTTTGAGACAGAGGTGCCCAATGCGATGAGGGCATGAACACAGGTCCCACTCGTGCCAGGGCTGGCTCGGCCATTGTCTTTGATGTTGCCGCAGGGCCTGCGCGTTCGCGAGCTCAAGGCGGCCAAGGCGGACGCGGCGCTCATCAAGGCCGAGGTGGCCACCCTCCTTGAGCTCAAGCGGCGCCTCGGCCCGCTCGGGGTCACCGACGGTGCCGCCGCCGCCGCTGCCGGCAAGGCCAAGGGCGGCCGCAAGAAGCGGTAACCGCGCGGCGGTGACGACGCAGTTAACCGGGGACGACGCGCGTGCGACCACGGCAACGGCGGTGACCGTGGGAGCGGTACCCGGAGAGCCGCCCCGTTGGTGGAGAAGAGATGGACTGATGCGGTACGAGAGGATGTGGAGCTGAGTGGACTCGCCAAAGACTGGTACCAGCGGTGTCAAGATTGGCCTCTATGGAGGAGGCTCGTGAAGGACGCTACTGGGCGGTGTCAGGCTAGGTTCACCTTGAGGCTACTGGTAAGCTGGAGGCAGTCGCCCTCCAACAACAACAGAGGGCAGGGGAGCGAACGGCAGGCGGCGAAAACGCAGTGAGTTGGCAGTGGGGGGGCCCAGGTGGTGCATCTGCCAGCCATTTCAGCCAACCCATGGCACCCTGGGTCTGTCCCGTGACCTCCTGTCAGTGATCCTTAAACACTTCACGTGGCCTCAACGTGCACATGTCCTGGCACGGGCACCGCGAATAGCGGGGGTATTGGTGGCAGGATTGTAAAGTAATTTAATTACTTTAAACACTCGGTATGAGCGTTTAAAGTAATTGAATTACTTTAAACACTCGGTATGAGCGATGAGAAAACCCGATAATCGCATTAGTTCACCAACAGGCACTGACCAGTGTGGTGAGAGCGTCACGCAGCAGTGGACTCACGCAAGAGGGTCTATATTTTTTATAGACAGAGCCTCCTCTGTCGCCTTCAAACTGTCGGAGCAGGTAGTGATGAGCACTCTACAGACAGGACAAACGCGCCCGCCGACATTCAAGGAAAGCCACGCTGGAGTGCATTTTAAACTTAGCGATTTTTATTTTGGGGTTACCACTGAAGCACCACCACATGAAGCCGTGCGTGTTGATGTCGCAGACGGCCTTCCCCCTTGGCTCATCTGCACATCCCTCCTCACCTCCCTCCTCCTTCTCTCTCTCGCACTTGGGCGTCGTCACAGCTCACAAACGTCTCACCTCCAAAGGTCTTTGCAGAATCAAAACATGGGTATTCATAAATGCAACACGTGACTAATGAACTAACGTCCTGCAATGAATCTATATAAGGTGCTCGTGTTCATTTTGTGGTGAGTGTGTGTTTGTGGGGGAGCACAGGTGGTGCATCTTGCCAGTTGCCCAATCGGTGAACCCATAGCACCTTGGAGTCCATCCCATAACTTTCCTGGCCAGTGAGCCTTCACCACTCTTTCAGTGGCCTCAGAATGCACCTAGCCTGGCACAGGCGGCGTCGTGGTGACATCACTCACTGGTGTTGGTGTGGCTCTTGCATTGCACTACAGCCCAAACCATCTGGGTTTAATGCCGTCATCCATTGCCCATTGATGGGCAATGGATGACAATTGACATAAGGGTGCCGGTGTGTGCGGCTCTCTGCGCATGCAAATATTTTTGACAGCGATTCCACCAATTGTCGCAACTCCGGAACCCCTTAGAAAAATCAGCCGACACCCTACTTATGCGACGTCATGTCCAGCCACATCAATTACAGATGGAATAATTGCACGGACCTGGGGCGGGGGGGGGGGGAGCAAGGGCACAGCTGACCACGATGTCACGGCCACCTACACCCCTGGCAATGTCGCGCTGCCACGCACAGCCATGAGAGTGGCAGAGATTGCTCAAACACCGCCCCCCATAACAACACGAATCTGCTGTGCATTTACGTGTGTGTGTACACGTGTACGTGTATGCATGTGTGTACATGTGTGTGTGTGCACACGCGTGTCTGGATAAAACGCCCCGGGGATTCCACTCGGCCTCGCCCGCCCGCTCACACAATCTGCGATTTTGACATCTAGCGGCATATCCAAGCGCCCACGGCGACAGCAACTGGCACGACTCTTACGCCCCCTTTTAACTGGCGGCTCTTGAGAAAACCAGGTGGTGGAAATTCCACGTTGCTGTGGCACGACGGGGGGAGGGGGGGGGGGATGATGGGAACCGGAATTCCATCTCTGATGGAGCTCCGGCGAGGGTTGCCGTGTGTCACTTCCACCCACGTTTGGTAATCTGGGGAATAAAATCGAACAAAGATCTCTTTTTAAGCTGGTCGGTCGGTCATTAACGACCGTTGCCAGCTGTAAATTATATCCCACTGCCTCCCGCTAAGCAAGTATGAAGCCCATAAATCGTACGGTTTAATGTTCCGCTGGGGATTTGCGGGCGGGCGGGCGGGCGTACGGGCAGCAATGAGAATGAAATAAAGACTTAACCAGGCTTACGCAAAAACTAAACAAAATCACTACTCGAGTACAGACATGCGATTGGGAACGCTACGCCGAGAAGCCTACTTAGAAGTGTTATCGTTGGGAATTAAAAGTTGCCGTCGAGTCTGCGGCCTGAAGCTTAGCCCAACCCTGGTCCACATCCCCACAGCTAAATCGGGACTCTGCAACCCCACTCTCGTCTGGATCTAAATTATGCTTGCGTCCACTCCAGTCTGAGAATTGATCCCCTCCTCCTCTCCCCCCCACCATCGTTTTGAGTTTGAATTGCTACATCAATTGGTCTTATTTCCACCAGAGATTGAGTTATGTAATCCCACAATTACGGGAGTCTTAATCCCACACTGATCAGCATCTTGATTCAACTAGAACACGGGCCTTGATCTCACCACCCAAGCTGAGGTCTTAACCAATGCCACTGCTAGACTATCAGTATCAGTGTCACTACGAGACCATCATTGTCACTGCTAGGCTGTCAAGTGTCACTAACAGTGTCAGTGCTAGACCACTAGGATCTCGACTAGCTGATTGGGGATACTGCTATTTTCACAGTGTAAGTGCGAGACCATCGGTGCCACTATCGTCAGTGTCAGTGCTGTTGTGTCAGTGCTAGACCACTAGGATCACTGCTAGCCTATCTGATGGGGGGGGGGGGGGGGAGGGTCTCGGCTACAGCCACAGCGTCACCGCTACCGTCACAGCGTCACCGCTACCGTCACAGCGTCACCGCTACCGTCACAGCGTCACCGCCGTTGGCGCCAGGGCGGCGTCGTCGTCGCTACCGTCACAGCGTCACCGCTGCTGGCACCTGGGCGTCGTCGTCGTCGCTACCGTCACAGCGTTGCCGCTGCTGGCGCCTGGGCGTCGGCGCCGCGCTCAGTGGCGCACGCGGTGCCAGCCGTCGTCGTTGGCGGCGAGCAGCGCCGGCACGACGGCGTTGAGGTCGCCGGCGTGCTCCTGCAGGAGACGGGCGTTGAGCGTGCGGTCGCCGAATCCCATCTCCAGCAGCGTCCTCATTGCAGTTGGCGTCACCGCCACGGGGCCGCCCTGGCCGCCCTGGCCGCCCTGGCCGCCGCGGACGACACGGGGGAGAAGAGACGGGGAGACGGGACGTGGGGGAGATGGGGAAAAAGAGGGGTCGGAGAAAACGTGGAGACACGGGGATACGGGGGGCAGAGAGAGGCAATGAAATAGGAGTATGGTGGGAGATGGGAGAGATGGGGATACGGGGAGGGATGGACAGAGGGGGGGAGACGGGACGTGGGGAGACAGGGATAGGATGAGAGGGGATATGTGGGGCACAGAGACGGTGAGATGGCGAGACAAGATGGGGAGAGAGGGGGACAGGCGAGATACAGGGACGCGAGGGCAGACGGGGGACAGGGGAGACAGCAACAGGGAAGGCAGGTCGGACATGGGGAGAGACAGGGACACGGGGAGACAGGGGAGAGAGGGGGACACCGCGAGAAGACACAGGGACAAGGTGCAGTGGTTACTCTTGAGTCGCCGGCCACGGCTAACACCAGGGCCGAGTTGTATGTGAACCGGTTCTGGGCCCTCCCACCGCCTTTACCAATCTTACATTACACACGTATCATATAATACGACACTATAACACACTTATAATAATACAACACACAACTGCTTTTATGTGTTTGTTGTCCTTCCACCGCACCTCCGGTTAGCACGGTTAGCTACGTACGGTGCGAAAGAAGTTCAACACACAACGGTAAAAACTATTTACTTGGCGATACTGCGTTAGCAGTGGTGCAAAATCACACAGAATACAAACTCGCCACGTTTGTCAAATACCGCGGCCACATAATCAATATCGTGCTATGAAGAAGGGTCATTGCCCAAAACGTCGCCTATTATACAACTTAAAAGCCACACACACAGAGTGTTGGTATTGCCGAACGTGATCAGTGTGTATATATACAGTGATGCCCATAAGTCTGGAATCATGGGTAAAAAATAATGAATTCATATTTTTTTGTAGTAAGGAGGAACGAGTCCGGATAATTCTCCTAGTAGGAAATCGGAGTCAGAGGGAGGTCGCTGTTGAACTTTGCCGACCGCATCCAGACCGCGAGGCAATGACACAGAGCTGTGTTTTTCCTAGGATTCCAGACTCACGTGACACCTTGTATATAGATTGAGACGACTCTCTCTCTCTCTCTCGAGACACCAACATCCAGCGGCGGACAGGTCCACGGCCGCCGCCGCCAACGGCGGCGGCCAGCGACGCGGCGAGCCTCACCTGTGCGGCGGGGACCCTCAGCATGGCCCGGATGGCGCTGGAGGCGAGAGTCAGGGCGCTGTTGATGTAGCGGGGGGCGCCCAGAGGCTGCCCCTCCGGCTCCGCCCGCTCTCCGCCGGGTGGCCCCGAAGCACCGTCACCGTCGCCCCCCGGGAGCCGGGCGCTGTCGTCGGTGGGCACAGGGTGGGAGCGGACGGCGTGGACGTTAACGCGGCCGCGAGGGTCTCCACCGAACGGCTTCTGCCTCCTTGCCGCCGCCCCCCGCGGCGCAGGAGCGAGTGTCCGTGCGTAAGCGCCGTCCGTCCCGTGAGGCTCGTACGTAGTGTCGTGTACGGTGCACAGTGCGGAGTATGCATGTTGAACTTCTTTCCTATGAAGTGTAGTGTACAGTGCAGTATGTGTGTCGTGTACAGTAGTGTATTGTGTGTACGGTAGTGTAGTGTATCGTGCAGTATGCACGTTGAACTTCTTTCGCACTGTACGTAGCCAACCACGCTAACCGGAGGTGTGTGTGGGGGGGGAAGGACAACACCACTAAACACACACAAAGCAGTCCTGGAGAGGCATGCACGGCGGGAGGGCCGGGCGGAGGCCTCCTTAGACTTGGGACGGGGAGTCGACAGCACGGATGGCCGGGGAAAGAGGAGTTCCGATGACACCGACCAGAACCGAACGGTTGCTACGCTGGCCACCCAACAAGACGGACCTCTGAATCTGGTTCAGAGACGAGCAGGGCCCAGGGGCGGGAGCGAACGACGCGTTCACCGCGTGTGACGTCGGTCGGCGCCCGCCACTGGGGGCTCCCTCTGCCCGACCAACACCCTCCCCGCTTGGGAGTTGCCGAGTGGATTAAGCCACTCACGGCAGACCGTTATCGAGGCGGCGCAGCGGACGCTCCACTCACCCGTCGGGTCCTCCGTGCAGCGACAGCGGCGTGAGCGGCACCGCTCCGCCGGCGGGCGGCCCCCACAGCATCTCGTCCACCGTGCCCTCCGCCGGCGCCTCTGCCATCGCCCCACCGGTGCCCGCGCCGCCCTCCTCCGCGACCTCTGACCCATCCGCCGCAGCCGCCGCCCCTCCCACGGGACCGGCACCACCCGCCCCCTTTTCCTCCGCCACCGCAGCTGCCGCCGCCCCCCTAGTGCCCCGGCCACCTTCCTGCTCCTCCTCTTCTTCTTCGTCATCCTCCTCCTCCTCCGCCTCTGGCGGTGCATTGTGGGAGCTGCCCGGGGAGATAATCTCGAGCGAGAGAGGGCGACTCGTGTCGAAGCACTCGGGAAGCACCACCACAAAGTCGTCTGAGGACTGGCTGGCGCCGCCATCCTCCTCCTCCTCCTCGCGTTCGTCCCGTGCTTGTCCCTCCTCCTGTCCCTCCTCGTGGCCTCCTCCGCCGCCAGTGCCACGCGCCACCAGTACGGCGGTGCCACCCGGAGGGCCGGCCAGCGCGTCGTGCCAGCATTCGTCGTCGTCGGCGATTTTGGTCGCGGCCGGGACTGGCGTGGGGCGGAGGAGAGGTGCGGGGGCGGAGCCTGATGGGTCGGCGTACACAGAGACAAAGATAAAGATCCCCCCCCCCGCCCGTCCGTGTAGCCTTTCACAGGCTCTCGGGGCAAGTGCTGTTCGCGAGCAGCGCGTGTCAAGGCCGCCACGGAGCGGCTAACGAAGGGGCGGTGTAGCCGACACCACGCCTGGCCGCCTTTGTCTCCCCAGTGCTGATGGTTAGACTCCACACCAGATAATATTTCAAGGATGAGTCGACCGAGACATGGCGTGCATGCGATGTCTTCATAACACAGATAAATCTTCGATCTGTATAAACCCACAGACAAAATAATGACTTATCCACTCGCTAACACGTAGTCACGCACTCTCATTCACACACTCACACTGACCCAACACACGCTCACTAACACAACAACCGCTATTCACCACTAAGTGGTGGTGACATCACCGCGGTGTTTGTGCCAGGATAGGTGCACCTTGAGGCCACGTAAAGTGTGGATGGCTCGGTGTTGGCAGGTGACAGAACAGACCCAGGTGCCATGGGTTTACTGACCGTGGACGTAACAATCATCTGTGAAACAGCTTCAGAGCTCATCAAATATCTCCAGGATAAACATACAGTAAAACCTTGGATTGCGAGCAGAATTCGTTCCGGAAACGTGCTTGTAATCCAAAGCACTCGTATATCAGTTGTGTGATCACGTGACGCTCGGCAGACAAAGTGTACAGATGTACACTGCTTGTATTACAAGACCCTCGCTCGTTTATCAAATTAATATTTATTTAAAATTTTTGCTCGTCTTGCAAAACACTCGCAGACCAAGTTACTCGCAATCCAAGGTTTTACTGTTTCTGATTCTGCTTTTTACTGTGCCAACACTCACGCACTAAACCCACACACACGCTCTCCCACACGTACGCTCACCTACACATGCTCTCCTACGAATATACTCTCCCACACTCTCACACACACTCTCCCACACACACACACGCTCTCCCACACACACGCTCCCCGACGCCCCAACCCACCCACCGTGGCGCGTGTCCCTGCGGGGCTGTGGCCGTGGCTCGGGCGACTCCTCGAGCGTGAGCGAGCGGATGACCGTCTCGAAGACGAAGTCCGTGCCGCTCAGCTCCTCCTCGGCACGCGGCTCGTGCGGCGACTCCGACTCCAGCAGCACCGCGTCGTCGTCGTCGGGCAGAGGGGAAGCACGGGGGCTCACGGCTGGGGGTGAGCGAGGGTGAGCGAGGGTGAGCGAGGGTGAGCGAGGGTGAGCGAGGGTGAGCGAGGGTGAGCGAGGGTGAGCGAGGGTGAGCGACGGCTGCCGATCCAGCCATGGGAGCGATCGCCCCCCCAGACCTGATGGACCATTCCCCCCCGCCACCCCTCTTGATAAGATCTGCTACCATCACCCAGTGGTGATGGTGGTGATAATGATGAGTGCGACGGTGATGATGGTGGCGATAGCGGTGATGTCGATAATGATAACAATCACAGAGTAGGCAGACGATGGTGGTAAGTAACATGATGGCAGTGATGATGGTAGTGATAATGATGAGTGTGATAGTGATGATGGTGGCGATAGCGGTGATGTCGATAATGATAACAATCACAGAGTAGGCAGTGACGATGGTGGTAAGTAACATGATGGCAGTGATGATGGTAGTGATAATGATGAGTGTGATAGTGATGATGGTGGCGATAGCGGTGATGTCGATAATGATAACAATCACAGAGTAGGCAGTGACGATGGTGGTAACATGATGGCAGTGGTGATGGTAGTGATAATGATGAGTGTGATAGTGATGATGGTGGCGATAGCGGTGATGTCAATAATTATAACAATCACAGAGTAGGCAGTGACTATGGTGGTAAGTAACATGATGGCAGTGGTGATGGCTCCGATGGCTCTGGTGACGACAGTTGTGATGTTGGTGGTTGTGGTGATAGTGGCGGTGAAAATTACTGTAGCGATCACTGTAGCAAACATTGTGGAAGGTGATAATGGTGATCGTGGTGGGAATGCTGGTTAGAATCGGTGACGTTGCAACGGTGGTGACCGGGATCATGCTGGTGATCGTCATTGGTGACGGCAATGACTGCGATGATTGCCATCGCAGTGATGATTGTGACGACTGTGGTGATGATTGTGACGACCGACGACTATTGTAATGACGACCGTGATGACCGCGACGATTGCCGTGTCGTCACCGTTCCCGGCGCCGTGCCGTGCCGTGCCGCCCACTCACCGACCGGCGTGTTGCTCGGAACCTTCTGCTCCTCCACCGGCAGCAGCAGCTCGAATGACAGGTCCTGCGATGGCGCGCACCCAAGACAAAGACACCCCCGGTAAGCCTTCAGCAGACCGTTGGGGCAAGCGTTGTCGGCGAGCACCGATGAAAGCTGGCACGGCGTACGAGGTGGTGGCGTGTACCAATACCGATGCCGGTGTATACGGACACCGCGCACAGCCGAGCCGACCAAGCGGAGGGGCCCCCCCCGATTGGTTCTAGATGTCGCCCGCGACCGACGTTGGCCGTGGCCGGGAATCGAACTCGGGGATTTTCGAACTCGGAGCCGCTGGGTTTTGAAGCGCAGTGCGCTAACCGCTGCGCCGCCGCTCCGCACGCAAGCGTTCAACACGGAGCGCACAGACACGCGCCCAACACACCTCGGCCTATCGCCTGCGTCTCGTACACACAACAAAGATCCCCCGTATAGCCTGGGAGCAAGGGCTACTGGCGAGCGCCTACGAAGGCCGGCACGGCACGCGGGGAGGTGGGTGGGCCAGCGCCACGCCAAGCTGCCTTTGTCTCCCCAGTGGTGATGTTTTACACATTGCACCAGGTACTCATTTGAGGCCGAGTCGACCTAGGGGAGGCCCATGACCGGTTTAGAGAATCGTCAATTAAGTCACCACCACACGCGCACACACACGCACCAAAGACATGCACCACACACGCACCACACACAGAATGCGGCGGCGGCACCTTGCGAGTGTTGCGCACGGCGCTGTAGAGGGAGTGCGTCGGGGAGTTGGGGGCCTCGGGGCCCATGGGCGGGTCGGCCACCACCACGGTGACCCACACGCGGGGCCCAAAGGGGCGTCCCTCGTGCGCCAGCCGCCAGTGCGACGTGTAGGTGCCCTCGGCCGCGGGCGCCACGAACTCCACGGAGAGGGTGCCAGTGCTGCCCGGCGCCAGGAAGGGCACGCTCACCTCGCGGCCCGTGCTCACCGCCACGCGAAGGTTCCCCCAGAGCAGCTGCAGCTGTCGCGGACGCGCACCCACGCACGTACACACACACGCGCACGTACACACACACACGCGCGCGTACACACACGCGCGCGTACACACACACACACACACGCGCGCGTACACACACACACACGCGCGCGTACACGCACACACGCGCGCGCACACGCACACACGCGCGTACACACACACACGCGCGTACACACACACGCGCGTACACACAAACGCGTACACATACACACACAAGCGTACACACACGCACGCGTACACACACAGGAATTTAAGGACGGATGTACACCGACGTATGAGCGTGTGGAGGGACACATACATACGCATGGACACACAGGAATGTAAGGATGGACGGATCCAGGCCTACGTATGTCCAGAGACAGACAGATAAAAGAGACAAAGATCCCCTGTATAGCCTGAACACAGTTGGGGCAAGTGCTGTTAGCGAATAGGATCTATGAAGGGCCGGCAGGCTACTCGAGGGGGGGTCGGTGGCCAACACCATGTTGGCTGCCTTTGTCTCTCCAAATGTTGATGTTTACTGCACAGGGCACCAGGTACTTTTGATAGCCGACCTCGGGGAGGCCCAGGGCTGGTTCAAATATTTGCCGCTGTTTTTGGTTGTGTTAAGGAATTGTCAACATCAAGTGACGGTTATCTGAACCAGTCACTGTGCCTCCCCTAGGTCAACTCAGCTTTAAATGAGTACCTGGTGCATGGTGCACACAGTGTAAACATCAGCATTGGGGAGTCAAAGGCAGCAAGGTGTGGTCCTCTGGCCACCCACCCCCTCGTGTAGCATGCTGGCCGTCATAGGTACTCGCTAACAGCCCTTGCCCCTCCAGTCTGTTCAAGGCAATATTGACGCTGCTGCTGCTGCTACTGCGCAGTTGGAGGCAGTCGACCTCCAGCAACAACGGAGGGCAGAGAAGCGACGCTCACAACAACGAGCGGAGCGCCGGGTGGCTAAAGCGCAGCAGGTTGGCACAGTAGGGGGCACAGGTGGTGCATCGGCCACTCATCCCGGTCAACCCATGACACCTGGGTCTGTCTCGTGCCCCGCTGCCAGTAGCGAGCCATCCGCACTTCACGTGACGGCCTCAAAGTGCACCGAGCCTGGCACGAGCGCCGCGGGGTGACGTCACCGCCACTTAGTGGCAAACGGCGGCTGTTGCTGCTGCTGCTGTTGGTGTTGCCGCTGTACCGTGGTGCGCGAGTCCCAGGCCATGTTGCCCGTGTTGCACATGCGCCAGTGCTTGATGAAGCGCATCTCTGGCTGCACGTGCGTGCCGTCCGGCAGATTCTCCTCCACGAACACGGCGTTCACACACGCCAGCGCCGGGCTGGGGGGGGGGGGGCGGGAGAGTGGGGGGCGCATGGTGGGTGGGGGGGCAGTGCATAAACCATCACGCGGAACTACGCCCATCCTCGCAGCAGCGGCGGCTTTTGGCTGCGAGCCATCGAACGAAGGCGGCGGTGGTCACCGCATCGTCTGAAACGCTCTTCCTTCCGATATGAGGAAGCTACTTGGGAGCTGATCATCGGGATTGACAAACTCATTTCTTCCTCCCAACTGCTTTTTGTGTTTACTTTGCTGTCCTTCCTCCCGCACCCTCGATTGGCACCGCGCGAGAGCACTTTCACGCAGCCACGCACGACTTGAAGGTGCACTCGCGCAGTGCCTCCGCGACATCCGCTTCCGCGGGCCGGTCCCCGACAACACGACGGCGGCCGCCCGCCGAGACTTCCCCCAAGGGGGGGTTCTACATCTCACGATGGCGTGACGCAACCGCAGCAACCGCTCACATGTGAGAGGGCGCGACCAGCTGAGTCGCCGCCGCCGCCGCCGCCTCGAAATTCTTCTCCTCCGGCCGCTTCTTCTTTCCACCGCCCGCGGCGCCCACCCCCACCGGGGCGCCGGCGGCCGCGGCCGCGGCCCCGGCCCAGGCGCGGCCGTAGCGCTGCATGCTCAGCTGGCGCTTGATCTCGCGAAACTCGGCCTTGCGCTGCTTCTTCTCGGCACGCAGGCGCTGCTTCTCCAGGCGCAGGAGCTCCTTCTCGGCGCGCAGGCGCTGCCTGTGGGAGGGGCGGGCGGGGAAGCGCCGGCGCTGACGCCCGTTGCCTAGCAGCACGCCACGGAGGGCGCCCGGAGGTGGGGGGGGGGGGGGGGGGGTTCCATCCCTCCTTGCGGCGCCGCGCGCACGCGGACGAGCGTCTAACGTGCAAGCGGACGTGTGAATGAGTGAGTGCAAGTGAGAGTGAATGAGTGCAAGTGAGAGTGAATGAGTGCGTGTATAAAGGTGCGTGCTCATAGCACTTGCCGCAACAGTCTGTTAACGCTATGTGGGGGACCTTTGTCTCTGTGTGTGTGTGTGTGTGGAACGCTAGTTTAGAAGTTAGCGAGCTGCGCTAGGAACCCGGCGACCCGAGTTTGATTCCCGCTCACGGCCACCAACGCCAGTGACGATTACCTGAACCTGTCCTGGGCCTCCCCTATGTCGACTCAGCCTCAAAACAAATACCTGGTTCAGTGTGTAAACCTCACCACCGGGGAGACAAAGGCGGCCTTGGCGTGGTGCTGGCCACCCAGCCGCTCGTGTGCTGTGTCGGCCTTCATAGGTGCTGCTCACAAACAGCACTCCCCTCCAGCAGACTGTCCAGACTATACGGCGCGCCTTTGTGCGCGTGGAGTTTGTACTGCCCGTCCCACTTGTACTGCCCGTCCCTCTATTACTGCCCGTCCCTCTTGTACTGCCCATCCTGCTTGTACTGCCAGTCAGTCCTGCTTGTACTGCCCGTCCCGCTTGTACTGCCCACCCTTATCGTACTGCCCGTCCCGCTTGTACTGCCCGTCCCGCTTGTACTGCCCGTCCCGCTTCTACTGCCCATCCCGCTTGTACTGCCCGTCCCGCTTGTACTGCCCGTCCCGCTTGTACTGCCCGTCCCGCTTGTACTGCCCGTCCCGCTTGTACTGCCCGTCCCGCTCGTACTGCCCATCCCGCTTGTACTGCCCGTCCCGCTTGTACTGCCCGTCCCGCTTCTACTGCCCGTCCCGCTTGTACTGCCCGTCCCGCTTGTACTGCCCGTCTCCGCCGCGGTCTCGTACTTGGCGTCCCGGGCGCCGGCTCCGTTGTCCGACTCGTCCGAGTCGCGGGCCCGAGGAGAGGCTCGAGGATCTGGGGGGGCCGCCCCTTTGCCGGGGGGGGGTCCCTTCGGCGGCACGCCTCCGGCGAGCTCCCGAGCCAGGCTCTTCCGCACCTCCTTGGTCACCCTGACCGTCACGTCCACCACCACTTTCTCTCGGAACTGAAGCAGAGGAAAGGGATGGGAGATGGCGGGGGGGGGAGTCAGAGCTGTCGTATGATCTCCCCCTGTTCTCACTCTGTGTAGAACAGCGGGACATCATACAAACTCCACTCACTCACAATGTGCAGAACAGGGGGAGATCATACAAACTCCACTCACTCACAATGTGTAGAACAGGGGGACATCATACAAACTCCACTCACTCTGTGTAGAACAGGGGGAGATCATACACACTCCACTCACTGTGTAGAACAGGGGGACATCATACACACTCCACTCACTGTGTAGAACAGGGGGAGATCATACACACTCCACTCACTGTGTAGAACAAGGGGACATCATACACACTGCACTCACTGTGTAGAACAGGAGGAGATCATACACACTCCACTCACTGTGTAGAACAGGGGGAGATCATACACACTCCACTCACTGTGTAGAACAGGGGGAGATCATACACACTCCACTCACTGTGTAGAACAGGGGGAGATCATACACACTTCACTCACTCTGTGCAGAACAGGGGGAGATCATACAAACGCCCACTCACTCACTCTGTAGAACAGGGGGAGATCATACAAACTCCACTCACTCTGTAGAACAGGGGGAGATCATACAAACTCCACTCTGTGTAGAACAGGAGGAGATCATACACACTCCACTCACTGTGTAGAACAGGGGGAGATCATACAAACTCCACTCACTCTGTGTAGAACAGGGGGAGATCATGCAAACTCCACTCACTGTGTAGAACAGGGGGAGATCATACAAACTCCACTCACTCACTCTGTAGAACAGGGGGAGATCATACACACTCCACTCACTGTAGAACAGAGGGAGATCATACACACTCCACTCACTCTGTGCAGAACAGGGGGAGATCATACACACTCCACTCAATCTGTGTAGAACAGGGGGGGGGGGATCATACACAATCCACTCACTCACACTGTGTAGAACAGGGGGAGATCATACAAACTCCACTCACTCACTCTGTAGAACAGGGAGAGATCATACACACTCCACTCACACTGTGTAGAACAGGGGGAGATCATACACACTCCACTCACACTGTGTAGAACAGGGGGAGATCATACACACTCCACTCACTCTGTGTAGAACAGGGAGAGATCATACACGCTCCACTCACACTGTGTAGAACAGGGGGAGATCATACACACTCCACTCACACTGTGTAGAACAGGGGGAGATCATACACACTCCACTCACTGTGTAGAACAGGGGGAGATCATACACACTCCACACTCTGTGTAGAACAGGGGGAGATCATACACACTCCACACTCTGTGTAGAACAGGGGGAGATCATCCACACTCCACTCACTCTGTGTAGAACAGGGGGAGATCATACAAACTCTACTCACTGTGTAGAACAGGGGGAGATCATACAAACTCTACTCACTGTGTAGAACAGGGGGAGATCATACAAACTCTACTCACTGTGTAGAACAGGGGGAGATCATACAAACTCTACTCACTGTGTAGAACAGGGGGAGATCATACAAACTCTACTCACTGTGTAGAACAGGGGGAGATCATACAAACTCTACTCACTGTGTAGAACAGGGGGAGATCATACAAACTTTACTCACTGTGTAGAACAGGGGGAGATCATACACACTCCACTCACTGTGTAGAACAGGGGGAGATCATACACACTCCACTCACTCTGTGTAGAACAGGGAGAGATCATACAAACTCTACTCACTGTGTAGAACAGGGGGAGATCATACAAACTCCACTCACTGTGTAGAACAGGGGGAGATCATACACACTCCACTCACTCTGTGTAGAACAGGGAGAGATCATACAAACTCTACTCACTGTGTAGAACAGGGGGAGATCATACAAACTCCACTCACTGTGTAGAACAGGGGGACATCATACAAACTCCACTCACTGTGTAGAACAGGGGGAGATCATACAAACTCTACTCACTGTGTAGAACAGGGAGAGATCATACAAACTCTACTCACTGTGTAGAACAGGGGGAGATCATACAAACTCTACTCACTGTGTAGAACAGGGAGAGATCATACAAACTTCACTCACTGTGTAGAACAGGGAGAGATCATACACACTCCACTCACTGTGTAGAACAGGGGGACATCATACACACTCCACTCACTGTGTAGAACAGGGAGACATCATACACACTCCACTCACTGTGTAGAACAGGGAGACATCATACACACTCCACTCACTGTGTAGAACAGGGGGAGATCATACACACTCCACTCACTGTGTAGAACAGGGGGACATCATACACACTCCACTCACTGTGTAGAACATGGGGAGATCATACAAACTACACTCACTGTGTAGAACAGGGGGACATCATACACACTCCACTCACTGTGTAGAACAGGGGGAGATCATACACACTCCACTCACTGTGTAGAACAGGGGGACATCATACACACTCCACTCACTGTGTAGAATATGGGGAGATCATACAAACTACACTCACTGTGTAGAACAGGGGGACATCATACACACTCCACTCACTCACACTGTAGAACAGGGGGACATCATACACACTCCACTCACTCACTAGAACAGGGGGAGATCATACAAACTCCACTCACTGTGTAGAACAGGGGGACATCATACAAACTCCACTCACTGTGTAGAACATGGGGAGATCATACACACTCCACTCACTCACTGTGTAGAACAGGGGGAGATCATACACACTCCACTCACTGTGTAGAACAGGGGGACATCATACACACTCCACTCACTGTGTAGAACAGGGAGACATCATACACACTCCACTCACTGTGTAGAACAGGGGGAGATCATACACACTCCACTCACTGTGTAGAACAGGGGGACATCATACACACTCCACTCACTGTGTAGAACATGGGGAGATCATACAAACTACACTCACTGTGTAGAACAGGGGGACATCATACACACTCCACTCACTGTGTAGAACAGGGGGAGATCATACACACTCCACTCACTGTGTAGAACAGGGGGACATCATACACACTCCACTCACTGTGTAGAATATGGGGAGATCATACAAACTACACTCACTGTGTAGAACAGGGGGACATCATACACACTCCACTCACTCACACTGTGTAGAACAGGGGGACATCATACACACTCCACTCACTCACTAGAACAGGGGGAGATCATACAAACTCCACTCACTGTGTAGAACAGGGGGACATCATACAAACTCCACTCACTGTGTAGAACAGGGGGAGATCATACAAACTCCACGCAGAAAGGCGCCCAAGTCGAATATCGAACCCAGGCTCTGGTTTGCCGCGTCGAGGCTGCCCTCACCTTCTCCATGTACTCCTGGAACCACGGAGGCGGTGTGCCGGGCGGTACCGGGAAACCATCGCCACCACCAGCGGTGGCGGCACCATCACCGTCGACGTCACCAGGATCATCGCTGCTGCCGCTGCTGCTGCCGCTGCTGCCGCCATCAACGTCCGGGCGCTGGGTCACCAGTGGAGTCTCTTCCACCTTCACGGGCAGCGCCCACGGTATGAGAAGGCCAAATGAGATCCGCACACCACCACCACCACCAGCCGCACGCGGAGCCGTCTCGTCGCCTACTTACAGCGGCACTTTTCAACTCCGGTCTGACTTTTTCATTATTACTGTTGACTACCTTTTTTTTATTTTACCAAGGTAAGGCCCACTGAGCTATGACCCTTTTGTTTTCAAATCAGAAGCGACCTGGCCACAAATGACAGCTCAATGAAATTGACTTCTCACGTGGAATTATGTAGCAGCCGAATACTTTAAAATGCGTGAGGTTGATTCTTAAAGTGGAGGGGGAAAGCCAAAGGACCGTGACCACGGGGAGAGAGACACGCAAACTCCAAATGTAGAGCAGCAGGCACCAGGGTCGGGATTTAACCCACGACCTCCTGCATACCTGGCGAGGTAGTTAACATCTAACCACAGGGAGAGAAGAGACACGCAAACTCCAAATATGCAGCAGGCGCAAAGCCTGATCGGAGTCTACTTAGCGCGTGAACACCTTGACCCCGGATATTTATTTAGGGCAGATAAAAAAATGGTATTTGATAGCTCTCCAACGAAAGTTTAAGGCAATCGTATGTTAGCTCCGTTCGGCAGTCCACCCATAAGAGGGGTGTGCGGGACATAAACGAATCTCGTAACGACGATCAGGATACGAGCGAAGCTTCCGTATAAAGTTACAGTGCTCATCAGACATTCATTCACCCCGTTGATAATCGGGTGTGGGCTGACCTTCCCCCAAATGCTGGCACTCAAATCAGAGAGCAAAACGGAGCATTTGCAAACACGCAACCGCATCCGGCGCCAGGCACGGCCACCCACCGGCTTGCGTACGGCCAAATCAAAACCTCCCAAGAACAAAAGCCGCGGCGCGTCTTGCGAATCCCTTCCAACAAAAATCCACGCGGCGCAACGGGCGACCTTCCCCCGCCCCCCCCCCCCCTTCCTCCAACCCATCGTTTTAAAAACGTCGATACGCGGCGCGGTGAGCGGCGCGGCCGTCTGCATGGCAGGGCCGGTGCCGACGCACGAAGGCGGAGTCTTGCTGAACCGAGGTCGAAGGTTACAAAAAGGGTCGTGCACAGAAGAACGGGGCCCTTCGCCCGCTCGCCTCGTGTGCCTCTGTACAACGGCGGCAAACGCTGCTCGGGTCTGGCGAGTGACCGCCAGAAAACAGGTCGAGCGGACGGCGAAGAGCAAGCCAAGTTAAATCACCGCTGCCCGCGACTTTAATTTGGCGTGACAAGACGTGCCGGGTTCCCTGAGCGGGGTACAAATCTTAACAAACCTGATTCTTCTGCTGTTGCTGCTCCTGGACTTGCTGCACCACCGCATGCTGCTGCTGTTGAACCTGGTGCTGGAACTGCAGCACCTGCTGCTGCTGCTGCTCCTGAACGTGCTGCACCACCGCATGCTGCTGCTGTTGAACCTGGTGCTGGAACTGCAGCACCTGCTGCTGATGCTGCTGAATCTGCTGCTGGTGCTGCTGAATCTGCTGCTGGTGCTGCTGAAGGTGCTGCTGAAGCTGCTGCTCAAGCTGCTGCTCAAGGTGCTGCTCAAGGTGCTGCTCAAGGTGCTGCTGGTGATGCTTGTGGTGATGGTGGTGGTGATGAGGTTGGTGGTGGTGGTGCTTTTCGTGGTGGTGGTGGTGGTGGCGGTGGCGGTGTTCATCATAATGTTGCTGCTGCTGCTGCTGCGATATAAAGACGGTTGCAGGCTCCTGCACACTTGTAGTTACTGTGCTGCTGCTGCTGCTGACGTTGCTGCCAGAGTCGTCCGTCCCGGAACTTGATTCCTCGTTGTGGATGGTAATGTGCAGCACATAGCCATGAGCACATGCCACCTGTATACATACAAAGAAAGATCACCCATATAGACTGAACAGACTGTAGGAGAAAGTGCTGTTGGTGAGCACCCTAAGAAGGCCGGCACGGCACATGAGGGGGTGGGTGGCCAGTACCACGACCGGCCGCCTTTGTATAAACAAACACGAACGTGCATATGCAAGCACACAGGCACGTGCAGATACAACAACCACCATTTGCCACTATGTGCTGGTGAAGTCACCACAGCGCTTGTGCCACGCCAGGCACACTTTAAGCCCGCGTGAAGTGCCGAATGCTCGCTGGCAGGTCCCGGGATAGACCCAGGTGCCATGGGCTGACTAGGATGGCTGGCAGATGCACCACCTGTGCCAACTTGCTATGTTTAAGTCATCTGGCACTCTCCTCGTTATTGTGAGCATCACTCCTCTGCCCTCCGATTTTGTTGGAGGGCAATTGCCTCCAACTGCCCAGTAGCATCTTTTACAAGCCTCCTCCATAGAGGCCGATCCACATCCTCCTGTACCGCATCAGTCCACCCCTTCTCTAGCCCGTACCCGTTTAGCCCCATATATACAACCAAACAGAAGCAGTTTGGGCAAGCAGTGGCTGGGCATGCGGGCTACATGACCCAGCCAACGCAGCGTCGCCTGCCGGAGGAGCTCACCGATTGCACCGTGGCCAGATCTTTAACAGATTTGTGAGCTCCACGCAATCCAGAGGCTGCAGGTTAAACCCATCGGGTGAATTCAGGACAATTTGGCCTGTAGGCCAGCTCTTGGCTCCCATCCAAACAATTATCCCCGTTGGTATTTATTATAACCACAACACGGTCTTTGCGTTGTTTTGACTCCCCTGACTACGGTGAACAATAACGCAGCATTGCCGCTGCCAGCAATGTTACGCAAGGGCTAAACACGGCACGATATTGTTAAGTTGGGGACGGCAGCGCTCCTCCCTCCACCACCCTCGGGGAGGGGGGGGGGGGGTTAACTTCCATCGGCTCGCAGTCACGCCCAGCCAGGTATGCGCGTGTGCATGTGTGTGTCCGTGTGTACATGTGTACGTGCGCGTGCGAGGGTGGGTGGGATGGCAGGGGGAGCAGTGGCACAGTAGTTAGGGTACTGTGCTACAAACCCGCCAACCCGAGTTCGGTTACCGGCTCAGGGCCGGCATCATTCGTGAGTTCAGATCCAGGCCAGGGCCTTCCATAGGTCGACTGAGCCTTCTTTGAGTACCTGGTGCGGTGTGTAAACATCGGCCCCAGGGAGACTAAAGGTGGCTTTATGGGAGACCTCATTTTTTATCTGCGTGTGCATGTCTGGTGTTGTACACTGTGTTAGCGCGCGAGCGTGCGAGCGTGTGCGGGCATTCTGTGAGCGTGAGCAGAATCAGAATATTTATTTACACCGGAGGAATCCAATGAGCTGTAAAGCTCTTTTTCACAAACGTCCAATTGGGGCGGGTAAGAACATATTGCGCGCACGAGCGTGTATACACGAGTGTGCGCAAGTGCAGATGTGCGTGGGTAAGCGGGCGTGTGCGTGTAACAGGTATGTGCGTGTGAGCGAGCGTGTCAGGTGATGTCTGAGTCACGCGCATATCACCTTTAGCGCTTCGCCGTATTCCTCTGCGAAAACACAACACTGAGTCAAGGCACTTCATGACGCAACCCTTGCATCATGCTCACGCGCTCACACTCACCGTGCTCACACTCACACGCTCATGCTCACGCTCACGCTCACCGCGCTCACACACACACACACTCGCACTCACCGCGCTCACACTCACCGCGCTCACACTCACCGCGCTCACTCACCACGCTCACACTCACCGCGCTCACACACACACACTCACCGTGCTCACACTCACACGCTCACCGCGCTCACACACACACAATCACCGCGCTCACACTCACCGCGCTCACACTCACCGCGCTCACACTCACCGCGCTCACACTCACCGCGCTCACACACACCGCGCTCACACACACACACTCACCACACTCACACTCAACGCGACGGTGGCCGCGCCCGGCACGGCGGCGACGCAGCCGCGCGGTCGGGCAGTGTCCCTGTTGTCGCTCGCGCCGCGGTCGATTTTATCTTTCAATTTTGTTTTGCCTGGGAAAGCGTCGCCGAGTCTCAAAGACGCTTCTACAGCAGGGTCCTGCCTGCTTCTCTTGGTAACGGGGTGGGTGGGGGTGAGCGGTGTTGCTGCCGCTGCCGCCGCTGTACGATTCCAACCGAGCCACTTTTTGCAGGAAATTGTTTCGGCACTGGGAGGTTATGGCCGACAGCGGTGCACAATCAGTGTGTGTGTGTGTTTTTTGCTTTGCCCCCATTTGGAGCGAATAAAGGTCAAAGTCTTAATGTCGTCATCAAGCCCCGACCAAGCCTCACGGCAACCAGATTTTGTAAAAGGTTATTTTTAAACACAGGCCGGGGTGGGCGTCTTCTGTGCAACGTCCTTCGCGCCGTACGTAGCCAACCGTGCTCATCGGAGGTGTGGGGGGGGGGGGGGTGGATAGAAATGAGTTTTTTTCCAATCGAGATTTACAGGTGTATAGCTCTCAAAGTGGCTTCCTAATAAAATAAATCCGGAGACGGCCGGCATCGGAGCAGGAAAAACATTGAGACGCTCGCCCTCGCCCTGGACTGTGCGTGCGTGCGTCCAGCGCAGTGGTTGGGCGCACCGCGCTACAAATCAAACGACGCAAATCCGATTCCCCCGCACAAGAGGTAACGTTGGTCCTGTGTGCCTCCCCCCTAGGTCAACTCGGCCTTAAATGTCCACGCGCCGTCTTACTGAGGGACTAACTACCGCCGTTGTCGTGCTAACTCGTTGTGGTCTGGGACTCTTGTTGTTATTTTTTCTGCCCCGACAACGCTCTATGAATTAGATTTAAATGAGGGAGCAATTGATAATTACATCATTGGACCTCCTTTGCCAGTACCAAAATATAATAATCGGGTTTTCCCCATTTTTTCTGGCAACAAAACTGAAACCTTTTTTTGTTACAAGGATTCATGTCTGCATTAACCACAATACTTGCAGTCAAAATGCAACTAAAAAGCATGCTCTGATAATATATGCATTGTCCTTGAAACTGATTGGTCCACACCAGAGACAGCTTTCTTTAGAGCCTAGTCTCAATTGGTGCTAGACCAGATGACGTCAAAAGGCTAGACCAGAGTGTGTTTTTTGTTTGCATTTTGACTGCAAGTATTGTGGGTAATGCAGACATGAATCCTTGTAAAATAGGTTTCAGTTTTGTTGTCAGAAAAAAGGGGAAAAACCCGATTATTATTATTGATAATTATTTTTGTATTTAGTGACCTGCTTACTCCTTTTCTCTAATTTGCACTGCCGTTGTTAAGTTTGTGTATCGCTCGCTGTTGTAAACCCCCCCCTCCCCCGTGCCCACGCTAGAGAGACCTCTGCGAAAAACAAAGAGCTTCGCAGCTCATCAGATTGCCCCGCCTGCTGTCCACATAAAGACTCAGATTGTGATTAAACACCCGTGTGCCACGTGTACACGTCGGCACTGGGGGGGGGGGAGACAAAGCAGGCCGGGCGCGGTAGTGGCCACGTGTGCCGTGCCGGCCCCTGACAGGTGCTCGCCAAAGACACTTTCCCTCCGGAAGCCCGAGGCTACACGGGGGATCTTTGTCTTTATTTGTGTTGTGCAGGGTGTATGCTTTGTTGCTCCGCCCTACCTTCAGTGTCGATGGACACCTGTGGAGAGAGAAAATGAGACGCAGCATCACCTGACACGGCATGGGACTTTGGAATATTCTTGGTTCAACCCCACTGCTCCCCCAACCTGCGTGTGTGTGCGTGCGTCTTTATCCGTGTGTGTCTCTATCCGTGCGTGTGCGTCTTTACACGTGTGTGTGTCTTTACCCGTGTGAGTGTGTGCGTCTTTACCCGTGTGAGTGTGTGCATTTTTACCCGTGTGAGTGTGTGCGTCTTTACCCGTGTGTGTGCGTCTCTATCCGTGTTTGTGTGTGTGTGCGTCTTTACCCGTGTGTGCGTCTTTATCCGTGTGTGCGTGCGTCTTTATCCGTGTGTGTGTGTGCGTTTTTATCCGTGTGTGTGTGTCTTTATCCGTGTGTGTGCGTCTTTATCCGTGTTTATCCGTGTGTGTGTGCGTCTTTATCCGTGTGTGTGTTTGTGCGTCTTTATCCTTGTGTGTGTTTGTGTGTCTTTATCCGTGTGTGTGTTTGTGTGTCTTTATCCGTGTGTGTGTGCGTCTTTATCCGTGTGTGTGTTTGTGCGTCTTTATCCGTTTGTGTGTTTGTGTGTGTTTGTGTGTCTTTATCCGTGTGTGTGTTTGTGTGTCTTTATCCGTGTGTGTGTGTGTTTGTGTGTCTTTATCTGTGTGTGTGTTTGTGTATTTATCCGTGTGTGTGTTTGTGTGTCTTTATCCGTGTGTGTATCTTTATCCGTGTGTGTGTGTTTGTGTGTCTTTATCCGTGTGTGTGTGTTTGTGTGTGTGTCTTTATCCGTGTGTGTGTGTTTGTGTGTCTTTATCCGGTGGCGCCACGGTAGCGAGATGTTAACAACCTCGCCTGGTATACAGGTCGTCGGTTCAATCCCATCCCCGACGATGCCTGTATATTTGGAGTTTGCATGTTCTCCCCACGATTTTCCTTCGGGTCTTCCGGTTTTTCCCTCCACATTTAGAATCAACGTCACGCGTTTACAGTACTTGGCTGCTATAAATTTCCACACGATGATGATGAGCCACTTTGTTGAGCTATAATTGATGGTCAGGTTCCTTCTGAAAGAGCTACACAGCTCAGTGGGCCTTATGTGGTTAAATAAAGTTTAATATTTTACTTTATCACCGTGTGTGTCTTTATCACTGTGTATGTGTGCATTTCTATCCCCGTGTGTCTTTATCACCGTGTGTGCGTGTCTATCCCCGTGTGTGTCTTTATCACTGTGTGTGTGTTCGCGTCTCTATCCCTGTGCACGCACGACCGCCCACGTCTGGGTTTTGCACTCTGTGATTTACGAGGCTGAAATCATCGGACCCTTAAATATTTATTTGCTGCAAGAGAGGGTTTTGGGCCCTTAACGTCGAGTAACGCCATACAAAAAAAGACTGACGTGTCCATCTATAATTGCGTGGAGTCACCTTCAGAGGCCCGCTGTTTGCCTATTTTAGTCTCCAAACCCCACCGCAGGCCGTCCTCCGAGTCTAGAACAGAGGGCGCCTGGCAATCGGGTAGTGCTGCAAACTCTTAAAAAGAGGAAAGTTTACCAAACGAGTCTCAATCGGCTCGCAGGCGTCGCTCCAGAGTCCTCCTTGCAAGCGTTGTCAACATAACCGCTGGGTGATTTGCCATGTCTATTAAAAGACGGCGAAGCGGCACGGGGACTGGGCACGCGTCCCCGCCGAATGCGGCTCAGCCGCAGGGCGAACTCGCTGTTTGAGCGGAGCGTTGCGTAGCTTACTTGTTTGGTTTGGCTGCGGGGGCCGCTGTCTTCCGCTAAAACCGGCGAGCGAGCCGAGTGAATGAGTAACGCTCGTACACGTGGACATTTTAATCTCTCTGTCTGCGTCGGATGGTCTCAAAGACACACATTTGGCTCGATCAGTACGTGGCCTAACCCGGCGGGTTCCCAACGTTTTCGAGTGAGCGGGCCCCTTTACAACCTCCAAACATCTTGCGGGCCGCCACCACCACACGCTAGCACGAGCAGTTGTTTGGAATTTGGCTGCGAGTTAACGGCTCGGTGGGTTTTACCTGGTAAGATAAAAAAAAACAATCGTTTAGTTTTATTTGCGTATTTAAAAAAAAAGTGATTTGGTTACCTTTCTTAGACTTTGCACTCCTATCGTGTTTTCGCATTGTTTGTTGTTGTAACGTTCTGACTCCCGTACCGCTACGGGTCGTCGGTGAAAAAAAGAGCTTTGTAGCTCATAGGATTTCCCCACCTCTGTGGGGACCTCGCGGACCCCTGGCAGTCCGCGAGGGGACCACAAGGTTGGGAATCCGCTTGTCCTAACCCGTCGGGAAACAACTAGATTACGAATCGTCAAATATACCGGCCGCTAAAAAAGCCGGACCGGACACGTTTCCGTTGAAACCAACCCAAGGTTGGCAACACCGGCGGTGCAGGGCGGCGTAGGCCTGGCAGCCTGGGGGTCCCCGTGCACGTACCTCCTCGTTGTCCTCGTCCAGGTAAGTGTAGTGCGCGCTCGCCAGTCCGAAAGACGCGAGGATCTGCAGAAACAAAAAAACCAGCTGCGGCGACAGACCGAGGGGACACCTCCCCCTCACCACATCCAAATTTGCCATAAGCTTAAAGTTGTAACCACTTAGTCACGGTGGGTAGGGGATGTTAACTACCTGGGGCCTGGTATGCACGAGGTCGTTGCTTCGATCCCGACCCCAACGCCTGCTGCTGTATATTTGGAGTTTGCGTGTCTCTCTCTCTCATCATCATCACGGTCGTTAGGAGATGTTAACTACCTCGCCTGGTACACAGGATGTCGTGGGTTCCATCCCGACCCTGACGCCTGCTGCTGTATATTTGGAGTTTGCGTGTCTCTCTCTCTCCCCGTGGTCACGTGGATTTTTTTTCCTCCGAGTATTCCGGTTTTTCCCCTCCGCATTCAGAATTGACATTACGCTTTTAAGAGTCTTTAGCTTATTTGACTGCGATACATTTCCACGTGATAAGCTACTTTGTTGAGCTATGATTTAAGATCAGGTTGCTTCTGACAAAGAACCTAATAGCTCAGCGGGATTTACCCGGTAAGTTTTTGTGTGATTTATTTACCTTTCACGTACTGTGCACTCCATTCGTGTTTTTGTATTGCTTGTTGTTCTAACTTTGTGACCCCATGCCCTCGACTGGACATCTGTGAAAAAGAGCTTCACAGCTCAACGAATTGCTCCTGCAGTCTAAAATACACGTTCTGATTCTGTTAAAATAAATATTCTGGACTAACATCGGTGGCGAGTGATATCTGAACCGGTCCTGTGTTCACCCCTCCCTCTCCCTCCAACCGGCAACTGACCAGCGTGGTGAAGCATGGTCAAACAACCCCCACCTCCTCAATGACCAACACTGCATCGGGAAGGGCCTTCTTCCATCTAGCAGTTGAGTGAGAAAGAGTTAAGAGTTATAATAGGTACTAGAGTATTTATTTTATTTTACCAGGCAAGGCCCACTGAGCTATAGCTCTATTTTTCAGAGGCGACCTCGCCACAAATGATAGCTGAACGAAGTGGCTTATCATCACGTGGAAATTTATAGCGGCAGCAAAATATTCTACAACGCGTGATGTTGATTCTAAATGTAGAGGGGGGAAAAACCAGAAGACCTGGAGATAATTCCAGACAAGAGAGAGACGCAAACTCCAAATATACAGCAAGTGTCAGGGTCGGGATCGAACCCACAACCTCCTGTATACCAGGCGAGGTAGTTAACATCTCCTAGCCACCGTGGGCACCCCATATACAAGACTTTGTGGAACCAACCACGTGGCAGCCTCGGTGAACAGCACGTTTGCATTTCTGGCAAGGGTAACTAAACGCAGCCCTAGGGGCAAAATGCAGGAATTCAGAACACCAAACGTCAACACACAGCACAGACGCACTTACAGTGACGCATTTATACCGAAGTGGCGTGCCAGCTCGTAGAGCCACACGAGACCCCCGCGCCCAAGTGAACCGCAGTCAACCAAGGGGAAGCCCACACCAGAGGCCACACAAGCCATTTATAAAGACATTTCACGCTTGTGATAACCATGAAAAATAAAGTTGAAATATTTTCGTGGCGAGCGTCTGCGTTGTAACCAGTGGCGGCCCGTGGCATTCCAACGAGGTGGGGCTGTTGCGAGAGACCTCTGAAAATATGCTGTTCTACATCATGAGGCCTCCTTTGTCAATACCAAAATATAATAATAGGATTTTTCCCCTTTTTTTGGCGACAAACTGAAATCTTTTGCAAGGAACCATGTTTACATTAACCACAATACTTGCAGTCAGAATGCAAGTATTGTGGTTAAGACTCTGATAATTTATGCATTGTCCTTGAAACTGATTGGTCCACACCATAGACAGCTTTCCTCAAAAGAAATTGGCCTCAAAAGAAAGCAGCCCTTTCTAATACGAACTCAAAATGTTATCTTCATTAGGCAATTCACGTTTAAAGAATTCATTATATTTATATACAAACGTAACACGACAAATACTATTTATAGAAAAGTATTTTTGAATGAAAAAAATAATTTATCATCTCTAGCTGTTTCGGTGGGACTGCTCATCCAACGCCCCTAGTGGACGAACCGCGCCTATTGCTTGTAAACCTCAGCCCCTGCTCGAGAACTTTCTGTTGACACGGCAACAAAGACAAAGATCCCCCGTGTAGCCTTTACAGACTGTTGGCGCAAGTGCTGTTAGCGAGCACCTATGAAGGCCGGCACGGCGCACGAAGGGGTGGGTGGTCAGCACCACGCCCGACCGCCTTTGTCTTCCCCGGTGGCGATGTTTGCACACCGCACTAGGTACTCAGTTGAGGCTGAGTGGACCTAGGGGAGGCCCAGGACCGGTTCAGATAATCGTCACTGGTGTTGGCCGTGAACGGAAACCGAACCCGGGTCGCCGGGTACAAAGCCAAAGATCCCCCGTGTAGCCTTAACAAACTGTTTGGGGCAAGTGCTGTTCGCGTGTAGCACCTTTGAAGGCCGGCAACGGCTCACGAGGGGGTGGGCACTTGCTAAGGCAATGCAAATATCAAAGTATTAACAGTTCGGCTTGTGTCAGCTATGTCATCTTAACACCTCTTATTGGCAAGAAAGGGTAAAGCCTATTCTTTTTCATCGCCTTAATACTGCCAAAAACGTCCCATAGCAACGCTAAACCTTCCCTGACCTGGCTATCACAAACGGTAGCTCATCACCATCATTATGGTGTGGAAATGTATCGAGGCCACATATACTAAACACGTGGGGAAAAAAAACCGGCGGACCCGGAGAAAAATCCACGCGACCACGGGGAGAGAGAGACACCGCAAACTCCAAATATACAGCAGCAGCAGGCGTCAGGGTCGGGATCTAACCTACGACCTCCTGTACACCAGGCGAGGTAGTTAACATCTCCTAGCCACCGTGATGAGAGACATGCAGACTCCAACTATACAGCAGCAGGGGTCGGGATCGAACCCACGACCTCCTGCACACCAGGCGAGGTAGTTAACATCTCCTAGCCACCGTGATGATGATGAGAGAGACACGCAAACTCCAAATATACAGCAGCAGGGGTCGGGATCGAACCCACGACCTCCTGCACACCAGGCGAGGTAGTTAACATCTCCTAGCCACCGTGATGATGAGAGAGAGAGACACGCAAACTCCAAATATACAGCAGGCGTCAGGGTCGGGATCGAACCCACGACCTCCTGCACACCAGGCGAGGTGGTTAACATCTCCTAGCCACCGTGATGAGAGAGAGACACGCAAACTCCAAATATACAGCAGCAGGGGTCGGGATCGAACCCACGACCTCCTGCACACCAGGCGAGGTGGTTAACATCTCCTAGCCACCGTGATGATGAGAGAGACACGCAGACTCCAACTATACAGCAGCAGGGGTCGGGATCGAACCCACGACCTCCTGCACTCCAGGCGAGGTAGTTAACATCTCCTAGCCACCGTGATGATGAGAGAGACACGCAGACTCCAAATATACAGCAGCAGGGGTCGGGATCGAACCCACGACCTCCTGCACACCAGGCGAGGTAGTTAACATCTCCTAGCCACCGTGATGATGAGAGAGACACGCAGACTCCAAATATACAGCAGCAGGGGTCGGGATTGAACCCACGACCTCCTGCACACCAGGCGAGGTGGTTAACATCTCCTAGCCACCGTGATGATGAGAGAGACACGCAGACTCCAACTATACAGCAGCAGTGGTCGGGATCGAACCCACGACCTCCTGCACTCCAGGCGAGGTAGTTAACATCTCCTAGCCACCGTGATGATGAGAGAGACACGCAGACTCCAAATATACAGCAGCAGGGGTCGGGATTGAACCCACGACCTCCTGCACACCAGGCGAGGTGGTTAACATCTCCTAGCCACCGTGATGATGAGAGAGACACGCAGACTCCAACTATACAGCAGCAGGGGTCGGGATCGAACCCACGACCTCCTGCACTCCAGGCGAGGTAGTTAACATCTCCTAGCCACCGTGATGATGAGAGAGACACGCAGACTCCAAATATACAGCAGCAGGGGTCGGGATTGAACCCACGACCTCCTGCACACCAGGCGAGGTGGTTAACATCTCCTAGCCACCGACGACAACAAGTCGACGTCATCACGCGCAGTTCCCGAGATAATTCAACCCCGGCGGCGGTGGTGGCGGCGACTGCGTCACAGCTCTCCCCCCCCCGCTCCACCCTCCTCCATGGCCGACACAACCACCACCAAGTGGGGCGCCGCGCTGCGGAGAGGGCGCACGCGGCGCTCGTGCCAGGCTAGGTGCTCTCTCGTGCCAGGCTAGGTGCTCTCTCGTGCCAGGCTAGGTGCTCTCTCGTGCCAGGCTAGGTGCTCTCTCGTGCCAGGCTAGGTGCTCTCTCGTGCCAGGCTAGGTGCTCTCGTGCCAGGCTAGGTGCTCTCTCGTGCCAGGCTAGGTGCGCTCTCGTGCCAGGCTAGGTGCTCTCTCGTGCCAGGCTAGGTGCTCTCGTGCCAGGCTAGGTGCTCTCGTGCCAGGCTATGTGCTCGTGCCAGGCTATGTGCTCGTGCCAGGCTAGGTGCTCTCGTGCCAAGCTAGGTGCTCGTGCCAGGCTAGGTGCTCGTGCCAGGCTAGGCGCCCGTTACAGGCTCGGTGCTCTCGTGCCAGGCTAGGTGCACCTCGCGAGCTGTGAACTCACCCCCAGGCGCAATGGGGGTGACTGACCACCCCCCCCCCCCCCCCAGATGACCGTCAACAGTGAAGCCCCAAAACACACTAAAGGTCCGTCTCGCCACCTCCATCAACAACCCGTGCCCCCCACCCGTGCCCCCCACCCGTGCCCCCCACACTCGGTGCAAGGCGGGCGGGTGTAGCGAGCGGCGTCGCAGTTAAGCGGCAAATACCCCACCACGGCTGCCTTTGTCTTCCCAGTGTCGACGTTTCGGCTCGCACGCCCGATCCGGGTGCCCGTTTAAGGGCGATTCGGCCATCGCAGGAGGGTGAGAGAGAGAGGGGATGGACCCTGAAACAAACCGCGAACAAGGATCCCACTACTGCTGTGCGTGTTGTTTGACCATACTTCACCACGCGGGTCCTCTGCGGGTTGTTACAGGCGGGTGGGGGAGGGGAGGTTAGGCCCAGGCCTGGCTCTGACATCTGCGACGTCTGCGGGAATCGAACCCGGGGGCTCGCCACCGTCATTGTCGTTGTTGTCGTTATTGTTGTCATTGTTGTTGTCGTCACGCTTTGACCATACTTCACCGCGCGGCTCGGCGTGCGCGAAGGGGGGGGGGGGCGAACAAAGTGGGGGGCTCGGGATCGTCTCTCACCGGACGTCGTGAAGCCGCGGCCAGGGATCGGGTGGTCAGAAACTCGCCCCGTCAGCATCTCTCTCCTCCACATCATCATCACTCATCATCATCTCTCCCCTCCTCATCATCATCACCATCTCTCACCTCCTCACCATCACTCATCATCATCTCTCACCTCCTCACCATCACTCCTCATCATCTCTCACCTCACCATCACTCATCATCTCTCACCTCCTCACCACCATCATCATCAGCCCTGGTCTCTCCCCTCCTCCTCACCATCACTCATCATCATCTCTCACCTCCTCACCATCACTCCTCATCATCTCTCCCCTCTTCCTCACCATCACTCCTCATCTCTCCCCTCCTCCTCACCACCATCAGCCCTGGTCTCTCCCCTCCTCCTCACCACCACCACCCCCCACCCCCATCGTCGTCTCCACACTCACCATGGCGCGCACGTCTCTCCACGGGCAACCCAGGCCCACGGTCAGGGCCGTCCCGCGAGCCCCGACGTGCACGTCCAAGCGCACGGTCCCCTCCATCGCTGCTCCTTCCTCACGTTGTCTCTCCTCTTCTCCTCCACCTCGTCGTCGTCTCCTCGTCGTCTCCTCCTCGTCGTCGTCGTCCTCTGGAGCCTTCGCTCGCTGCTTCCTCCTCCCCAGAGTCCGAGGATAAACAGTGCTACGTCACGCGATGGCAAATACGTCGTGACGTCACCTCGAAGTAAACACGCCTCGACGTCACGGCGGCGAAGAAGTAAACACGCCGAAGACGTATTCTTGGTTCTTTCGGTAAAGTCACGTAGAAGGGAAACAATAAAATAATAAAAATATTAAACAACAATTATTTTATTGTTTCCCTTCTACGTGACTTTACCGAAAGAACCAAGAATATGAATCCCTGCAGTCACGAAAGCTTTAAATAAAAATTTAAACGCCGAAGACGTCACGGAAAAAAAGGACTGAACGCGCAGTGACGTCACGGCGTGTTCGCTCTTTGCCGTGACGTCAATGCGCGTTCAGTCTTTTTTTTCCGTGACGTCTCCGGCATGTTTACTTCTTCGCCGTGATGTCACGGCGAGGTTGCCTTGCAGCCCGATTGCTGATCCCGTGAGGTCTCCGTTCTCGTCCCACTAACGGAAGGTGTACTAATGACGTCATCAGGGGGAGAGGGTGGGTTTGTAAAATATTCCATGACGTCATCGTTTAACGCGTTCATTAACTGGACACAATTTGTAACAGTATTTACAACAATAATGCAATCATGGGAAAGATCGGGGTCAAACGTCAATTTCAGTGACATAGTTATGACGTCACAGCTATGACTACAGTTTCGTATATACAATAATGACGTCACCAGGACCAGGGCGTAAAGCCAAACATATTACAAGACGTCTTTGTTTTACATATACACCGGTGACCTCACATAATTACATTAGCAATTTGGTTTAAATAATGACGTCATCAGGGTATGGCATAACATCGGCTTACGTAACGTCGCCATTTTATATGAAGGCTCGTGACGTTTAATCAAAACCACAATATATATTTTTAATATATATAAACGCATAACTTTTTCTGTGATGAACGCTGCACTTTGCGTCGTCTTCATGCAGGGGGCGCTGCAAACCTGCACGTGCCCCCTGCATATACTACACGTAGTAGTAGCTACACATGTAGTAGTAGTAGCTACACATGTAGTAGTAGTAGCTACACATGTAGTAGTAGTAGCTACACATGTAGTAGTAGCTACACATGTAGTAGTAGCTACACATGTAGTAGTAGTAGCTACACATGTAGTAGTAGTAGCTACACATGTAGTAGTAGCTACACATGTAGTAGTAGTAGCTACACATGTAGTAGTAGTAGCTACACATGTAGTAGTAGTAGCTACACATGTAGTAGTAGTAGCTACACATGTAGTAGTAGCTACACATATAGTAGTAGTAGCTACACATGTAGTAGTAGTAGCTACACATGTGTAGTAGCTATTACATGTCATAGTAGTAGCTACATATGTAGTAGTACATATGTACGACAACAACAACGACGCACTTTTAACTTTCCTCTTGTTATCCATCCTACGTGTGTACAAATAGTGCCACTTTCCTGCTCATCACTGCCTGCACCACCACCACCATCATCATTAGGTCGTCGTCTTCTTCCACGTACAACCTTTGCCTGACAGCTGCGTCGGATCACTCGTTGGCTCCAGTCTCGATGGGGAGTCCTTCTGCAGCGATACATTTCAAATGCCAGTGGAGCTACTACAGACTAGGGCTGAACGATTTGGGGAAAATATCTAATTGAGATTTTTCGGACAGATATTGCGATTTGATTTGCGATCAACATTTTAAAAGTCAAGCTTCAGTTCAATACTCGCTGTGTAATCGATTTAAAACACGTGATGGAGCATTACCACGTGATACCATCAGAATATGAACTGCTCTATATATTCTAATGCAAGGATGAGAACTTAAAAGAAATGAATTTCTTCCAACATGTATTTATTAAAATGTTTTAATTGAAATAGAACAATCACACATAGAACCATTGTTAAGTTAAATAAAGAAAGTTCTAATAATAATACTAAATAAAACAATTCCAATAAGCAAGTAATAGGACTTTTAAAATCGCAAAAAAATCGCAGCCTTTCCGATTTGCTAATCGCATTGTTTCAAATTGCGATTGCGATTTAAAAAAAATCGTTCAGCCTTCTCCAGATACCTCCAATGCGGAAGGCTGCTGCTGTTGAAGGAGCGTAGACCACAATGGGGTTACTGTGCGGTCCAGAGCCACAATCACACCGCTGTAGCTCGTGTCTTTAATACATCTTCATCCACTCCAGCGCTGTCCTACCAGACAGTCTCGTCCCTTCACCTGATGAAGGCCGCTTGTGTTGTGGCCGAAACGTCGTGAGAATATTATTGTGTTATTTTATTTTAGCAATTTATTATTTTATTCTCATTCTACGTGACTTTACCGAAAGAACCAAAGAATACATCTTCATGGGTCTCTGTGTATCTCTGTGAGTCTCTGTGAGTCTCTGTGTATCTCTGTGAGTCTCTGTGTATCTCTGTGAGTCTCTGTGTATCTCTGTGAGTCTCTCTGTATCTCTGTGAGTCTCTGTGTATCTCTATGAGTCTCTGTGTATCTCTGTGAGTCTCTGTGCATCTCTGTGAGTCTTTGTGTATCTCTGTGAGTCTCTCTGTATCTCTATGGGTCTCTATGTATCTCTGTGAGTCTCTGTATCTCTGTGAGTCTCTGTGTATCTCTGTGAGTCTCTGTGTATCTCTATGGGTCTCTGTGTATCTCTGTGAGTCTCTGTGTATCTCTGTGGGTCTCTGTGTATCTCTGTGAGTCTCTGTGTATCTCTATGGGTCTCTGTGTATCTCTGTGAGTCTCTGTGCATCTCTGTAAGTCTCTGTGTATCTCTATGGGTCTCTGTGTATCTCTATGGGTCTCTGTGTATCTCTGTGAGTCTCTGTGTATCTCCATGGGTCTCTATGGGTTTATTGTGCGGCCCATAGCGTGGGTTGCATGGCCACAATCACACCGCTGTAGCTCGTGTCTTTAATACATCTTCATCGGGCTCTATGGGTTTCTATGCGCCTCCGTGTATCTCTATGGGTCTCTCTCTCTGTATTTCTATGGGTCTCTATGGGTTTCTATGCGCCTCCGTGTATCTCTATGGGTCTCTCTCTGTATTTCTATGGGTCTCTATGTGTCTCTATGAGTCTCCGTGTATGGGTCTCTCTCTGTATTTCTATGGGTCTCTATGGGTCTCTATGAGTCTCCGTGTATGGGTCTCTCTGTATTTCTATGGGTCTCGATGGGTCTCTATGAGTCTCCATGTATGGGTCTCTCTCTGTATTTCTATGGGTCTCTATGGGTCTCTATGAGTCTCCGTGTATGGGTCTCTCTCTGTATTTCTATGGGTCTCTATGGGTCTCTATGAGTCTCCGTGTATGGGACTCTCTCTGTATTTCTATGGGTCTCTATGGGTCTCTATGAGTCTCCGTGTATGGGTCTCTCTCTGTATTTCTATGGGTCTCTATGGGTCTCTATGAGTCTCCGTGTATGGGTCTCTCTCTGTATTTCTATGGGTTTACTGTGCGATCCATCGTGTGAGTCGCAGGGCCACAATTCCACTGCTGTTGCTCGTGTATTTTAAACACACCGATGGGATTCTATGCACAGTCATACCACAATTTACATCTTCCCCCATTTTTTACGTTGTTTCACTGTATTAACACCGCGATCAGATTAGCATCGCCTCCACCCACACTCACTCATTCGCCCACTCACTCACTGGCTCACTCACTCACCCACTCACACCACACTCACTCGCCCACTCACACACTCGCTCAGCCACCCATACACTCACACACTGGCTCACGCATTCACTCGCCCACTCACACACTCACTCACTGACACACTCACTCGCCCACTCACTCACTGACACACTCACGCACTATCTCACCCACCCATACACTCACTCACTGACACACTCACTCGCCCACTGACACACTCACGCACTCGTTCACCCACCCATACACTCACACACTGGCTCACGCACTCATTCGCCCACTCACTCACTGACACACTGGCTCACGCACTCACTCACGCACTCACCCACGCACTCACTCGCCCACTCACTCACTGACACACTCACGCACTCACCCACGCACTCACTCGCCCACTCACTCACTGACACACTGGCTTACGCACTCACTCACGCACTCACCCACGCACTCACTCGCCCACTCACTCACTGCCACACTCACGCACTCACTCGCCCACTCACTCAGTGACACACGCACTCACTCAGCCACCCGCTTAACCACTCACCCACCCAATCACTCGCCCTCTCACTCACGCACTCACCCACGCACTTCAGAATCAGGAGTGTATGTCCCACCGACTAAAGCCGTAGAGTTAAGAAGCTCTTTGTCAAGGGGCGACATTGCCGGGAGACAACATCAAAGCATTGCACAATTACAGATTTGAAAAAAACCCCGTAATAATAATAACAATTATGTTTGTAAATGACATTCACACTTACACCTGAGTCAATTTTAACGTGGACAGATGGCAGAATGGAGATGCCAAGAGACAAAACTTCTCAGGTGGTTCCAAACACTTTGAGAACAGCCACCTTCGATGCTTTTGAAACCCAAAATTGCGTGCGGACTAGTCCGTCCATGGGAACTGTCCATGGACAACCAGAGGCTCGTCGCAGATTCTGAGGATTGTCCAACGGTAATAACAACAACAACAGGTCAGACAAATAGAGAGCAGATCTGCAGACAACAATAGCCTTGTCAATGAGAACAGCACCGGCAGTGACAATTCTTTCTCAATGCGCCAAGGGGACATTTTGCCCGGGCCATGGCTTAGCTGCCAATGGCACGAATTGAACAGCAGAGGGCAGGCCGGGACCATGGCCAAGCGGGACGCACCGCGCGGAGTGAAACGCAGGGTTGAATTAGCGAAACAAACTCGGCAATAATAACACCGTGGCCTTAAAATAGAAAAAAAAACAATCATGATGTCTGCGACGTTTCGGGTAATGACCCTTCTTCATAACACAAAACAAAGACAAAGATCCCCCGTATAGCCCGTACAGACGTGTAGGGGCAAGTGCTGTTAGCGAGCGCCGATGAAGGCCGGCACGGCACACGAGGGGCTGGGTGGTCAGCGCCACGCCTGGCCGCCTTTGTCTTCCTCGTTTGAGGCTGGGTCGACCGTCATAACACACAGAGACAAATATTCGCGCTTTGCGGGCGCTCTGCCATAACCTGCCACGTGTA